TTTTTTACTGGTAATATAATATATCGAAAATTTATCGATTTCTTATAATTGGCTCAATCTAACGGCTTGATATATCGAATGATCTATCGCGAATAATGTTTTTGACTAAAGAAAAGTAATTAGTTCATTTGCAAGGCGAATTGCTTCAAAATCGCGAATTTAATGGAAAAGTATAAACTAAATTCGTGTCTGTCAGAATGTCGTTTACAGACAGATAATAATTAATTGAAAGTATATGGGTATTGCCGAAATACATTTAGTAATAATAATTTCAAATGCAAAAAGAAAAACATTGGCATTAAGTTACTGTCCTTGATAAAACGGTTTTCGTTTTAAAATTATCAAGGCTTTCTTTACCTTTAATGGAAACATTTTACATCGTTTTTTTATGAGATATTAACTTGTCCTTATCGATTAATTCTATTACAGACTATTTCTAACGATTCATATGATTAATTAAATTTTAAATACTAAACAATTTCGCGTCTAATAATTCTGTAGTCTACTACTGAAAAATTCACAAAGTAATTGAAGAATATATTAAAATCTTGGGATGCAAACAAGGACGAAAATTGAAGACATTTTTACTTCATTTCAGTACAATCTTGAATTATTTTGCCAGTTTATAAATATATTTATTGTCTTGTTCATCTGTATTATCGATTTATAAAATCCCTGGAAGTATATTTACTGAGCAAGAAAGAAAGATTTCATAGTTTTTGTAGGTCAAGTTTATGCGCCAACTGAAATGGGCTGGAAGGCTGGAACTCGTTTATCCCTCAATAATTTTTTAAGTGGGACGGGCCCCAAAGTTAAAGGGGAAATCAGATTAATTATTAATTAATGCACATATCTGTTTTCTGTTGCCGACAGCTACGTGTGTGCATGGAGTAATAGTATAATGCGCACCATCATATTTGTAAATAACGTCTACTTCACTTGATTTGCAAGTGCAGTCATCTTTGATTACTTATAGCTACCGAAGATAGAATAAATAAAGTCTTTTACCAAATATGATGTCAATACCATAAACACGTTTCCAAGGAGCGTTTATTTAGAGAACATTGGCTACGTTTTGCAAACAGAACAGTTCTGGAGCAGAAAAATACTCTGCTGCTCCAGAACTGTTCTATTTGCAAAACGTAGCCAATGTTAATACTTTTATACGACGAATTCTATTAGTTGAATTCGTTATTATCGGATAGTCTGAAACCATACGCCTGTCAAACATAACGAATATCGAAATATTCTTCTTAAGTCTACCAATTTTGTAAATATTCGTTAATTGTTTATCGGAAATACAGAAAAGTTACTTTTATTAAGAATATTCGCTTGTGCGAATTTACCAAATATAGTCAAGACTAGACAGTCTGAACTATCAATTTCCATTTTTAGGATGTACAGTATTTCCTTTCTTCAGTAGAATCAGACACTTTATAAAAACATTCTTTCTAATCCCAGATGTATGGCAAGCTTACACGTAAATACAAATAAATTAGGCTACATGAGTTATATGAATATTTATACATAATTATAAATTATTTATAAACATTAGCTGAGAAAATATAAAGATAAATTATTTTAATATTAATGTTCGTAAAAAATTGATTTAATTAAAACATAGGCCTAATTAATACGACAAATTCATTATTCTGTGAGTATATCCTAAATGAATGCCTTATAACAATTTGTTTTTTATATTTTGGACAAACTGATTACTTGAAAAGCTTACGAGGTATATTGAATAATTGTTTCCAAAAAATAAGTTATTTATTGGAAATATCGTTTAAAAAACCGATGCCAAAAGTTGGCTAAATAGTCACGCGGTAAAATTAAGATGATTGGCCTATTTTAACTTGAGATCGACAGTGGACAGTGTTTCTGTCTTGTTTTCAGTCATCATTTAACTAGATAACATTGATATGTGTTATGAACCGTCAGCTGCAAAATGTTTTTCACATTTGCAGAAAAGTTCGTCTCACCCGTAACACTCAATTCTTGTAGTATTAATGTTAAGCATTATTTATGAATTGTCAATTACAGAAAATATGAATAAGTTTTTTGCATACATATCAGTTATTTTCATTTTTGGATGTCATTACCTTTCTTCAGCAGAATGAGACTTAATTATACTTGGATTTTTGCACTACTTTCATTGCGACAATTTCATTAATACTATTTTATAAATTTTATAAATGGTACAATTAGCATGTAGTATAGATATAGTTAAGTCAGCATTATATAATAAAAATCATTCAAATTATTAAATTTAAATTAAATTTTGCCATTAAATTATTGAATTATGAGCAATATAAGTAAACCTAGTGGACTAGTCCTAAATGCATTCGGTAATACGAATGTTTCTGTACACAATGGCAACAGGAAATTTACGTTAAACACTTATAAAGCATGAAAGAGCAGATCAGATCAGGATCTTATATGCTTATCGACTCAATTTGATATTTATTTTCACATTTTCACTTCGCGGTCCTTCTCTGTTCTTTCTCCGTTATTTACACGTGTAGGACATTTCATTGTCATCCACATTTGATATCATCACTTATCACATACTGCCATGACGCTTATCCGGTTATGCCTATGCGGTACCGGAAATGTACTGTACGTTTTATATGTACCTAAATAAAAGATTGTGTGTGTGTGTGCCATGACGTTCATGTCTGTCCGTTTCAACTGTCAAGAATTAACGCGATTGGCGAAGCGTAGTGACAGCGAGCCAATAGAGAGCGGGTCGTTGCCATAATGCGGTTTGCGCGCCAATTTTCGTACGTGCGATAATTGAGCCGAATAGTTTGGCCGAATAGTTTGGCCGAATATTGGGCTATTCGGCCACGCTCCTGGCCGAATATTCGGTATTCGGTCTGAGGCCGAATATACTATTCGTTACAACACTAATTTAAATTCATTAACTAATTTAAACTTTTTAATATTGTTTTTCTGAATTTATAATTTCACAGCACATAGTAGTACAGTGGAGCATCGGTTAACCGACCGTTCTAGTCGGCAAATTTCAAATGTCCGCTAGTGATGCGGCGCTACAATATTTGGCTATGTCTTGGCTACTTTAATATTATTTTTGTTAAATTTTTGCGTGTTTTAGCTGGCAACATTGGCTCGACCATGAAAGGGAGGCCAGTATTTAAACGACTTAATTTTCTAATTATGAGTGGTTGTTTGTTTTGTGAGTAATAAAATAATTTAAAAATAATTTTTAACGATACAATAGCGACGATTATTTAAAAAAAAAAAAATTTGTTAGGCTTAACATCGATGAAAATTCAACGCGAAGTAGGTTAACGATATACAGTACTAATATACTAATTATATGGGATATACTAATACACNTATCGCTCTAATCTCATAATACTCGCTCATGATACTTTCGATTCGTCACTTTTCCATCGTAGAGTTCCCATTTTACAATTACGTGACTCAGCCTGGTGATAACGGAGAAAAGAGACTATCTGTCTCTTTTCTCGTTTTCTCCGTTCTGACGTCGATATAAGTCACAGTTATGATTTCACAGATTCTAGACAGCTTATAGCTCGAACGGCCCCAGACTTTCGCCCGTGCACGCTAAGTGACTTTCCTTACAAGCATTTAGCTTTCCGAAGTCTGTGACAACAATTGTTTGGCATTGACGGCCGCGAATTTCGCGGCAATAAGCTACTTCGACTCGTTCGATTAAGTTATCGACTCAATTTGATATTTATTTTCACATTTTCACTTCGCGGTCCTTCTCTGTTCTTTCTCCGTTATTTACACGTGTAGGACATTTCATTGTCATCCACATTTGATATCATCACTTATCACATACTGCCATGACGCTTATCCAGTTATGCCTATGCGGTACCGGAAATGTACTGTACGTTTTATATGTACCTAAATAAAAGATTGTGTGTGTGTGTGCCATAACGCTCATGTCTGTCCGTTTCAACTGTCAAGAATTAACGCGATTGGCAAAGCGTAGTGACAGCGTTCCAATAGAGAGCGGGTCGTTGCCATAATGCGGTTTGCGCGCCAATTTTCGTACGTGCGATAATCGAGCCGAATAGTTTGGCCGAATATTCGGCTATTCGGCCACGCTCCTGGCCGAATATTCGGCTATTCGGCCACGCTCCTGGCCGAATATTCGGTATTCGGCCTGAGGCCGAATATACTATTCGTTACAACACTACTAAAAATACTAGATTAGATTTGAAATATTTTGAATTTTTGTTTGATATAAGACCAGCATCAATAGCACAAAATTTCTTAAAGAAATCTACCTACAAATTTAATTAACAACATTTATGTTTTGTGTGAAAGACTGTTTTTGTATCGATAACAGCATATAACTTATTAGTAAATGGTTGTAAATAAATAAAATGGGAATATAATCTTTCCTATAAAGTAACCATAAAAGGTCTTAAATTGATGTATAAAATTAAAATAGTACGAGAATAATCAAGTTAAGAAATAAAATGGTTGTGAGAAAATACGAAATTTTACAGTAGAGTATTATACAAATTTAAATATTAGTTAATAATAAATCATTGTTTACTTTATATGTATTTTCTTTGAGTTTTCATTTATTACATACCTCAGTAATATTTAAGTTTCGTTAAATATTCCGTTTTATTTTTACATTTAAAGAAATAAAATATATTCGTTTTTAGTATTATTTTTATATTATCTTTTTTATTCAAAAAAATTAAAAACATTACAATAACCGACCACTAATCAATGCTCTATATTCACATTTATATTCTCGATGTTATTTTCAATACTTCTTTTTCAATCTAAACCTTTATGAAAATTCTTCATATCTATTTTTCTTTTTCTTGTTTCTTGAAAAAAGAAATGTTTAGATGTCTTTCTGTTATTATGATAGCAACAGAGAGCAAAATTAGATGTTCCACATGCTTCTCTACATTGAGGTCCACAGGCGTTACAATTTGAATTGCAAGTATTAATACACAAAATTAACAGAACGATACCAAATGCGGTGATCATAGCGGAAACTACAAATACATAATAAAATTGAAAATTATTATTCATTTTAATATAAATTATAAATATTTGATTACCATTTATATTTAATGGCGTTTAAAAAATTATTAAGAATGAATAATAGTATTTTAATTACAAAGTTTTTTATTGCCATGAATAATGTTTAATAGCAATTTTATAAAAGCAAATACAAAACAAAAGAAATGTGCAAGAAATAGCAAACTGTACGAAAGTAGTAGACAGCCTTATTTGCAATAAAAGTTATATTGAATTGAAATTACTTTATTTTTTGTAGTCGATCGTACAAGCTGAATCTAAAATACTTTCGAAACATTGTTTAGAGTTCTTAATGGTTTATGCAGTTTTTTCCACTGAAGAAATTATTTTTCCTTTGCAAAATTTTTTGAATAAAATTTAGTTCTGGACTATGGAATGGATAAAAAATTAAAGAATTATTTTGGTAATTGACACGATCCTAAACATATTGTTTCTTTAAATAGAATGGATGTTGTTTAATCTTAAAAATGGATATTGAACTCTTGTTCTTTCGACTTTCATGTCGATGTGTCACTGGAAAATTAACATTATACGTACAATTTTGAATTTAGAAATATATAGTTTATGTATTTTGTCAACAAATAATCCATTTCCAGAAATCACTGTTTAGAATGATTTTTGGCTTTGATCACTGATACAATGTTTCGGAATTCCGGGCAATCTTCTAGAAATAACTTGAGTATTTAGTTGGTTTCTTTGATTAACTGTTACGATTATGTGCTTCATCGCCTCAATTCGATACTACAGTTTATACTATCGAAATATTTGCAACAATTTAGTATTTTATATCTATTGATCATTTAGCCATTATAGGGAGAATGCTATCATAACTCTCACAGATTAGTTTTCGTATCAATTCATTAACTGCTATGGAACAATTTTCTATATTCGAAACAGAACAAAAAATTTTTAAAAAATTTTTTATTCTAAAAAATTTAAAACCAGCGTATGATTTGGTGCAACGGATTTATTTAATTTTTCAATAATGATGTGGATTTTGAGTGTTTTAGCACTAATATTCAGTCATCCATTTCTTAATATAATTACTTATATTAATATATATATAATAAGAATAAGCAAAGGTAACTGATAGAAAAATAGCCATACTAAGCTTTGTAGAAGTTTTCTGGCGTTTTATTATGGAATTTTCAAGATTTTTTATGAGACAATGTACTTTAGTTTTTTGGTGATAAGAAAAATAATCAGCTATTTCGTTAATTTGTAACCACAAAAAACAGCTCCTTCCCAACAGTCTAATTTTGTTCTACATTACAGCTGATATGTCAGACAATTTTCTTTCCCTCTTAATTAAATTAAAATTTTTCAGCCATTAACCAATGAGAAATTTAGTTTTAAAGTCAATATAAATGAAATAATTGCTTATTCCTACAACCTTTACACATTACTACAATTTTTTTTTCTTATCTTGTAAATAAAAAAATTAAACTCTTTTAAGAGAAAATTATAAAAATTTTTATAAATGAAAATGACAATATAATATAATATCCTTCTCTTTATGTTTTCAATACTTTAAACATTTTAGATAATGTACAAAATGTACAGTACAAGCATATACACCAGTAATATTCAGCTGTTACAGTTATCTATCTCACACCTTTATGCAAGTTATGTACCAGATTTACGGAATTACATTATATTTTTATTATTTATTAAAGATATAAATATTATTATTCAAGCAACGAATAAATTCTATTATTTTTCGATAGATTTAATAAGTTTTCTAGAGAGTAAATTTTTTCTATCTTTTTGTTTGAGAATTGAGTTTTTAAAATATAATCTTAAAAATGTACCAATCTTAAATGAATAATTATAATTTTTTTCCTGTTATAAAATCGTAAGGCGTTCCATTTCATTTTGTTTATTTTAGCCTAGATTTAGATGCAGCATAAAGGATTATTATAGAAAATTCATATTTTCCCAATTATCAATGAAAAATATTAAGTTTTAGTCTAAAGTAAAACTATAAATGTTCTTTTACAATCCTTTATGTTGCTGCCTCTAAAGTTAGGCTAAAATAAACAAAAGAAAATGGAATGAATTAAAATAATAATAATAATAATAATAATTTATAACTGGAATGTGAACACAATTTAAAAATTGATGATTATTAGCAGTGGAAAAACTGAATCACTGCGTAGATTACAATAAACTTGTCACTTATTACTAATCAGTGATTTATTTTCTTTTAAAACAACAAATGAAATCACTAAAAAAACAAAAGGATTTGTCACTATTAATCATTAAATACACGTATACTCTGAATTCTTACGTTAAGAATGTAAAATTTAAAAATAACCTTCTGATAGTTAAATTTACATTACTTAAATTAATTTATAAAATAAAGTCTGATTGCAAGTGTTTCTAAAACGAAAATATAAGTATACCTGCTGGCAACTTAACAATTTGTCCAAGGGTAAAATGTATCTTTTCAGTATTGCCCGAATGTATGCATGTGGTGCTTGCTTGTTCCAACTCTAAAATAACCAATGAATAAAAATCTAAGCAGAGACATAAGATTGATTTATTTTTAAAATGCATGCCACGGTAATAATAAATTAATGCATTTTGTAAAATATAGATGAATTATTCAACATAAGTGACATATGACAATCGCACCGAATTCAGCGGAAATGTGTAAATTTTTCAAATATCAGATCATGATGCAAAATCAAGAAAACGATCTTCAAGAATTATCTTGCGACAAACGATGCTAATGTCTCTTTAAGAGTAAATATAATGTAGTCTACTAAGTGATAGAGTACAGCAGAAATGTCTTATTCTCACGAGCAATTCTGTACCTTACATTTTTATACCTTAATTTTTACCAAAAATGTAAGGTTTATACCTTACATTTTTGTATTACATTCTGCAATGCTGTCTTTATCATTACAGTTAGAGATTTTTTAATGTTGTGCTAAATGTCTATTGATTCCTTTCGGAGGTTGTAACCATGGGACATGCGTACACTCATGCAATGTTAGAAAGATCTTTCTTCTCCTGGACAGAAGTTCAAGTGAATATGACAAATAATATCTAAATTATGATTTTAACAAATATTAAAAATGAGATTTGAAATAAATGATGATTCTTTTAAAATTATTTACCGTTTGTTTATATAACAATTAAAAAAATACTTATGAAATCAATATTCATTTGTTTAGTTTGTTGTAATATCTGCTGTTTCCACTGTACTTTTGTTTATATTTTTATTATTAGTTCGTTTGATATTTTGATATTCTTTTTCGTTACTTTTTTGTTTTACCTTCTTTAAAGAGTTTAATTTTTAGAGGAAGAAAGGAAACTGGCATTGAATCAATGAACGTAGAATTTTCTCTCGCTATACCGAATGCAGTCACTGATATATGAAAAACTTAGTCAAGATAAGAACTTTCGATAACTTAATTCTTTTTTTAAATCTATCTTTGATAACACTACATTAATTAAATTTATCTATAACTACTTGAAGATGGATATGACGGAATTAAATCGTCAACCAATACTAATTTTAAAGTTTTCTAACCTATCTCATTAGATATGGAGTAAAAATGAATGTGTTTCAATTTCTTCCATGTTACATAAATTTATTAAAATTAAAATTATGTGATCATAATATTAAAATTCGAATCTTGTTTGAATTTCAACACACATTAAATTTGCTTGTAATGAACTTTTAATTTTATAACTTCAATAAAAGTTATAAAAATCTATAACAACTCGATTTTCTTTTTTATCTATCATTTCAATTAAGATAATATGTGTCATATAATAAGTAAAAAGCGTCAAGTGAAAATTTCTCTATCTTTTTGCGGACTATCTACGATCGCTTCATCCTTATAAAATGAAGAAATAAGTAAAAACTAAAGTTATTTATTTTATTTATTCTTTTCTTCAAAACGTTATATATTTCAACAAAAGACGAAAAACTTTCTTTGTGCTCAAAAAGCAGAAAGAGGCAGCAATAAAAATAACAGCCTTGTTTCTTACCATTACCGTATAACTAAACTATTCTAGGGTTCTTGTTCCTCTTAAATGGAACTAGTTATTCATACTGCCCTCAGAGAAACTGGTTATTCATACTGCCCTCAGAGAAACTAGTTATTCATACTGCCCTGGCCAGATCCCATTGTGCATGAGATTTTTCCCATAAATTAATGGGTATAATTTGAGACCAGCCTCATATAATCCAGTTGTAATAAAACCCTAATATTAGACTAACTTTATTCTTGAAAAAAAAATGTTCTAATGCATTTACAATGTAAAATGACAAGTTAAAATGAAATGAAAAGAACATAATAACAGATAGTCATTAATTTTATTATCGTGTTCACATAGCTTCTGTGAATAAATTTTTATAAATTGTAATGATCAATTTCATCCTATACGCAATACATTACAAAAAAAAATCATTTTAAGTTGTAGACTAGCCGGCACATTAGGGCCTATTTACAACAAATTTGTCAAAAATCTCTTTACGTTCGTTTAATGACAAATATTAAAGGTAATTTTACAGTTTATTGCTAGTTTGTGATTTATTTTATCCCGATTTACCCTATAGTAAATCAATATTTAGGTGATTCTATTAATACGAAAATATTTAGAGAGAGAGCAATCACTAATTTTTTAGGTAGCAATTACAGTTTTCAAAAAATCGCAATGTCTAAATGAAACGTGTTTAATACAGGGAATGTATTTGAATGTAGGATCGAGTAACATTCGATTATGTGAGCTGTTTGCATTACATTAAAACAATAATTTGAATACTAATAATGAAATGTTACGTAATTGAATAATCGCGAGTGATATACATGGATAAGTGTTTAGCTTGCACTTTTTCTCGTCTCGATACCTTAATAGGAATTCGTTATTTTCTTACTTTAAATGTATAAAAATATATGTATAAAACACACACAAACACACCTACAAACACACATATATAATGGATATAGCCTACATTAGAGTAAAAAAGTAATTTGGATATTTCAAAATATGTGTCAATCTATTGTAATGAAACAAACAATTAAATTGAGTTAATGTTTAGTATGCAATAAAACTCGAACAAAGATCAGCAATTAACGGAGAAATCATAGTTCTAAAGTTTATTTATTGACGAATGTGTCGGAAATTTTATATTTAATTATACTAATTTAAATGTTTAAAGCAATGATTCATTCAACTCATTTCACTCAACAAATATGTGAAAGAAAAGTCATTAATAAACATTTTGGACTAAGCAGTTTAATACTTATTAAAATGAAATGTTGCTAACCAAAATTATAATAATTAGTTATTTGTTTGTTATATTTTATTATTAAATAATTATCTTAAAGCCTATAAAACATATTATAACATACAGATTTTTCATTAAATTATTTTAAAAAGTTCAAGATTATTGAAATTTTTATCAAATGCAAAACAATTTAATAATATTTAAATATTACCAAATTTTTATATTAATTTTAATAATTTTTTTACATAAAACACATAAATGAATTTAGAAACTAGAGCATATGTTAGGGACTTCATGATGATAGTCTAAATTATATTTATAATTATATATTTGGATTTATATCTTATTTACGAATTATAATTACGAAATTTTAAGAAAGAAATAGTTCACGCGGTTTAATACTTGGGACCTTAATTCAATTATCAGTGATAATTATAAACATATACCACGTAGCCTTTACTTCCAATAAAAGATGTTTTAAGAAAATTTATTTAATACATTTTAAATTTTAATACAATAATTAATTCAAATTAAGTTAATAACACTTAACTAAAAAAATAACATTAAAAACTTAATTTCGAATTAAGTATTATAAATAAAATTATTTTAAAGCTCTCATCCATACCTGTTAATAAAATCTTGTTGGGGTTAACAACAAAATTAGATTATATATAATGTTTTATATATGCAATTTTAATAAATTTAAACTTTACTTGTGCTATTCGGTTATATAACTTCTGTAATAAAAAGTTTTAGAAAAGAGAATTGAAAATGTTATAATCATATCCAGGTCAAAAGAATAAAGCATTATTTTGCAAACTTACTTTGAATATATCACTTTCCGGCAATGACGACAATATTTTAAAAGCTGAAGTGCAACATTGAGTTAAAGGTTCTTTTAACTACAAATTAATCATGCAAACAATCAAATTAAATACCGGATTTTATAACAGGCATTCACATCTCTAAACATTATAATTAATAAAATAAGATTTTTACACAAAATATAAAAAAAAAAAAAACTTCCAACACTTGTCTTGTACAGTACTGTACTGTACATCTAGTGCAAATAATTATATTAAACAAAGACGATTTTATCTATTTAATATATTTATTTAACGAGATAAAGGTTTAATAAATATTTTTCAGTCAATAAATGTGATTTATGTTATCAAAGTTACTTCCTTTTGCTTAAAGGTCAATTGAAATTCTAAGTAATGACGTCATTTATATATACATATATTTATTTAATGTTTATTAAGATTAAAGTTAAATTGAATATTGAAAATAATAATTTAGGTTCTTACGAATTTAATCTTTATAGTATTTTAAATTTATAATTTTATAATACGTTTAATTTGTAGTACGAGTAATTCAGTAATATTTTTATTGTAAATAAAAATGAAAATTAAAAAACGAACAGAATTTATATAGATAATTTGTTACAAAATTTATTTAGAGTTATCTTAAATCGATAACATCACTACTATGATTTTTAAAATTTTTCTAAATTTGTGCTGTCGCAGAAAAAAGTTATATATATTTCTATAATTAAGTGTATTTTTCTATTTTTATTCCTATAATGTTTATATAATAAAGATTATAAATAATAATATTGCAAGTAAGCAAAATGATATTAGATTATCACAAGCTAACCTATTTTCGTTTTAGCTCTCTTTCGTTCTCTGTACACTTTTGGATAAACAAAACGTCTTGAGTATCTATAGAAGTTACCTAGATGTAATTATATTATATACATATAACAATATTGTATATCTTATCTTATATCAAAGACCATTTAAGATTGCCATTTAAGATGCTCATTTTTATATTTATTTATCTTATTTACGGTAGGAAAAGTCTATGACAATAGATTTTTTCCCTCATTAATAATAAAATAATAAAAATCCCGAACAAATGTTTGTAAGAAAATTTTCTTATCCTTGGTTACTTTCGTAATAACCAATTTTTTTTCTTTTGAATAATGACATATTCAATTATAGCAATGTATTGTAATTTAACTCAACATTTTAATTTCAGTACACGAGTACTTCTCTGAAAAGTATTTCGAAAATTATCAGTTGTTTATTCATTGATTTCCTTATTGATCCAATAACTTATTGATATCATTTCTGGTTCTTTTCGAAGAAGTTTGAACAATATTTATAGATTTTATTAACTTAAACTTCAACACAAAACACTGTTACCTTCATCAAGCCTATATTAGTAAAACAAAAAAAAAAAAAAAAAAACTAAAATGTTTTCTTTCCAATAAACGGGAGTAAAACTAAATCGCTCTTTAGATTGCGAAATTTGATTCTTGTGTATTTATTCTCTATTGAAAAGAAATGTTTGTAATTGTTTACTTAATTGTTAAATACTTTGTAAGACCAACTCGAAAGCAGATGTAGAATTATTTATTATTTTAATATGTTTGATATATTATAACGTTAATCTGAATTAAAAGTCACATAATAAATAATCCCATATTGAATTCGATACGAATCTGTCACAAAATTTCTCTAGTGGGGTTAATAATTATTACTAGATTAAATAAATAGTATATTAGTTATTTACTTATTTTCAAATATAAAGTCTTATTAAAGTAAAATAATAAAAAGCATCAGATAACATTCCCACTTAACATTACATTTATACATACATTAAATAATATGTTAAGTTCTAATAAATATAAATAATTATAAACATATACCACGTAGCCTTTACTTCCAATAAAAGATGTTTTAAGAAAATTTATTTAATACATTTTAAATTTTAATACAATAATTAATTCAAATTAAGTTAATAACACTTAACTAAAAAAATAACATTAAAAACTTAATTTCGAATTAAGTATTATAAATAAAATTATTTTAAAGCTCTCATCCATACCTGTTAATAAAATCTTGTTGGGGTTAACAACAAAATTAGATTATATATAATGTTTTATATATGCAATTTTAATAAATTTAAACTTTACTTGTGCTATTCGGTTATATAACTTCTGTAATAAAAAGTTTTAGAAAAGAGAATTGAAAATGTTATAATCATATCCAGGTCAAAAGAATAAAGCATTATTTTGCAAACTTANTACGTCGGACGTTCAGCCTCCATCCTGAAAGCCTAGCCATAGAAGTTTGACAATGAAGTTTGGAACGTCGAGCATAATTCCACTGACGTTCCAAACGCCATTGTCAAACTTCTAGGCTTACAGGATGGAGGCGCTGAACGTCCGACGTACACGTTTACGCGTTGAAAACGTCGGCCTCAACCTCGTTAATGTTTACAGAACGCACTCATAATGAGGAGAAAAGATTTTTGATTTTACGTGTGCTGAATTGTAAATAAAGACATAATAGCCAAAAATTATTTTTAAATATTTAATCAAAAATATATACAATGCAAATGAAGCAGACTTTATTTTCGTGCAATCCTGATAACACTCAGCCCATATGTTTAATCGGAAACTGCTAAAATAGCCTACTTAAATCACTAAAGAAACTACTACAGTTCTTTGCAGTGTTAATATTTAAGGCAAGAAACAATAAATTCTAGTAATTTAAAAAAAATCAGATTATTTAAGGGTATAAAACATCATTAGATTACTATCCGAACGCAATTTACCTGGATAACAACTGACACTTTTAACAACTGAATACCGTCGTTAAATAGAATATAAACTTGAAACAGAAAATTTTGTTGATAGAAATTGTACAACACATTTGTGTGTTAACAATGTGTCTTTAAAACGTTAAAATATTATTCCTTTCTGCAAATAAATTACTGATTCACCAATGCGACTAAATATTAACCTCAAAGAATTCTATTTGTTTTATTTTATTCATTTATGTTTGTAGGCTGTTTTATTTGTTATTTATATTTCATATTTTTAACATATGATTGTCAATAAAGTGAAAAAAAATTAAAAAAAACATAAAGAGAGCTAATGGGAATATAGTTGATAGCATATTGAGTATTCTTAAAAAATTAAAAATTTCGCCGAAAGTATTTACATTAAAATATATTAAAGCTGTAAAAATACCTTAATTTTTCATTGTTCACAACACCAGATACAGTCCAAAACAATTTTTTCTTACGGAAACGATCTTTTGTTTGACGCTACGCCTCCACAAAAAATGCAAAATGAATTTAAAAAAAGTATTCTGGTGATTCTGCCAATACCATAATTCAGAATACAATTGAGTAAATTTTTAAAATATTTAATTTTTAGTCATCATAAAACGTTTTTCATCCATTTTTCATTTTTTTACGTGGAGGCGTAGCCTCAAATAAAAGGTTTCTACGTAAGTGAAAATTGTCTTCAATTGTGTTGTGAGCGATGGAAAATGAAGACATTTTGTAACTTTAATATATTTATATAATTTGTATTTATATAATTGTATGTATTCTCTTGTCCTCAATTAGTTATATCAATTAACTTACACAAGGAATCATATCTAACTTAAGGCAAAGTATAGAAGTAATTTTAAATGTATGCAAGAATTTTAAGAATGTTAACTGATAGTCTAAGTCAAATTGATATTAATTTATTTTTGAAAGAATTTCCCTACATATATTGGCAATGCGGAGTCAAATATTTGAAAAGATGATCGAGAATTGTTTTGAAAAAGGTAGTTTCCAAAAAATAGGTACTGAGATAACTAAAAATAAAATTGTCCATTTGGGAGGATATCATAAGTAATACTCTAGATCATTTTACAAGGGAAGAAATCACAAGTTTACGCTTGACAAATTCCAGTATCTATACTTCTATCTATACCAGTAATATACGAAATTGATACTGAAGAAGACTTTTGCAGAATTATTTGATGAAAGTAAAGAAAATCAGCATGAAGATAGTCTAGATCCTTCTAATAAATTCTCAGATGAGAGAAACTCTGTATGACGTACTATACTTGAACAGATGTATTGAGTTTCGAAAACATGAATTTGATCTTTACATTAATGATAATTTTTGATTATTATTAAGAAATTATTATTATTATAATTAATAAGCTTTTATGTTAATTATTAAATTTTATTTTTAAATGCTTTTATTATTTTAAATTGTTTTTAAATAATGGGATAAAATTAAAATTTCTACTAATTGTAATCTAATTATCCTTACTTTCACCAGATAACGTTATCACTTTGTCAGCTAATCTTAAAAGTGGCACCTACTAGGCCTACTTTTACGTAAAACAAATTGTAAATAGCTTTTATAAACTAATTTTTAGTTTTATCTGTGTAAATTACAAAAATTTAAAATAAAAACTTTATGCTATATAAAACTGTGGAAAATATTATTTTATTTATTTCTGTATTATATCTTGTTTAAATTTCATTACATAATTTATATCATGCTTATCAATTATAATTACTTATTCATTATAATTATGTAACACTATATCTCAAATACAACAATTATTTACTGGATTATTTTATTCATAAAACCAATTTATATATTAAAACTTATAATAATTTCATAATTTTCCATATATCTAATGATTTTAATAACAAAACGAACAACAATGAAACATTTTTTTAATATTAATTTTATTTGACATTTTATATTATTATATTTATTTTTAAAACTTCAGAACTTTCTATATTTATTTATTGAGAATTTCTTTAGTTTTTATACCTTAAATGTAAGCTAAACTTTAAGTCATGATTAATACATACTTTTTATCTCACATCAGTTATACATTTTAAAACAAAAATATGACTACTTTATTGGCTATTTTCGACAGGCATTTGGCAAATTTTGGTGACTGTTGATTTAAAATAACCAGTAACCCGTATCTTCCACACGTTCATGTATTGGTGTATTGGTCGTTCTTGTGCGTAAGAAAATGTAAAAAAACTATTTTCTTAGATAAGATGCTTAATGGTTTATTGATATATAATATAAATTAAAATGTAAAATACCAACAGCCATCATACGTTGAAAAAGCTAAATTCCTCTTTACATCTCAAACTCGTCTTTTATCTCTGGAGATGCGAAGGTAGAGTGAAGATCTTATTGCCGTTCCTTCCCAATTCCGTCCCGTAGAGTTGGTTTCTTGTGTATCACGACTCGATGTATTAAATCAGATTCGTTGGAAAGCACACCTCCACACTCAAATTGAATATATGTACAGTTTATTTACAGTTGTAGAAAGTACAAGTTGGAAAACATAGTGTATGTACAGGATAACCATGCGTAGTGAATTCACGTGCCAGATTGGCGTCTGGGAACTAATAACCTTTGGAGAGACCTCAGTCAGATTGTGGAGTCGGCTCAACTGCACGGTCGGTCCGGTCTCAGCACTAACCCGTCCCTGAGAAGATCAACAGAGGAGAACACTCTCTCTTTACGCTCAGCGGGCTTCCCAAGTGCCTGAGACAACCGTGTATCAGTCTCTTGCCCTTCTCTCCTTGACTCTCGTTCGCCCCGCAATTTAAGGGATTTTGGAACGGGAACTTCCGACCAATCACAACCCTTTTTTATGCCCGAACAGCTTACACTCAGGTCCGCCGTCATCCGACGAGAGTGAAGCTTACACAAACGTCCGCCACTTGTTTACGTTCGTTTGTTTACAATATGGTAAATGTACTACCGTCTGACTGCAGGTGGGTCCAATTAACAAAGCCGGCGCTTCCTTTGTTTACCCTTGTTTACAAGTCAATACCTTACAAGTGGTATTACCCGACCGCACGTGGGTCCAATTGACAAAGTCGCGCCTCTTTTGTTCCCACTCTGCTAAAAGGTCACTACTTTACATCTCCCACCGACAAGGTTCAAACTGCGCTTTAACAAAAGCCTGTTTGACCTAAACATACACCATCACCACGCACCATAATTATCATTACACAAATCAGTTCTTACAATACATTTCCCCCTTTTTCTAATACAAGGAGCAGATTACTATAGACATTATTGTATACTAACAAATTATTTACCGTTATAAGTACTTAATATCTAGCAGACACATATTTACAGTACAATACTATCATTGACAAATTGTTCCATTAATCTATATTCAGAATCACCTTGTAGATATCACTTATATCTATCCGAAGGACTTGATACGAAATTTAATATGCCTTGTTCGTCTGATCTGGAGGTTCCGGATTATTCCTGACTTCCAGTCTGCATAGGACGTCAGCATTAGTGCGTTTTTTCCTTTTGCTGCGCCTGGGCTCGACATTGTATTTCCGTGACGCTAATGCCCGACGTGCCAATTTCGCACTATGAAGTGTACGGTCATTTTGCTGGAAGGGAGTGAGTACCTGACGACTACTACGTGCCCTGCAATATTTTTTTATATTACCCTTTTTATCCACCTTAGGGTTTGGACTATCTCCTTTGTTAACCCTTTCAATACAGTACACCAAATACACAAAAATTAAAGACAAGTAACATATTTATTTACCAATACACAAACACAATCGCTGCAGCAAGCTCGTAATCGCTTTTCTTAGAAACTTCATTGTAGGTACAGTACTTACACAAAAAGAGCTCTGATATCCAAAGTCGCATAAAGTCGCCGAATTTTTTTATTTCACTGATTTTCCTATAAGTTATATTACTGTCAGATGCAAAAATTAGATTGGATCAATTTTGGCAATTTTACTTACACTTATTTTAATTTTTCTTCATTGTAAGTTTATCTATAATTATTTATATGAAAATATCTATGATATTTTCATATAAATAATTATATTTTAGCTCATTCGTGGCACAGTGTGGCAGCGGGCCATAGTTTGGCGACTCCTGCAGTAGAGGAAAGCAACATTTCTGTCACTTCCCTTTGTATTTTCATAGAGTTTAAAATAAAGTATAAATAATCGAAATGTCACAATTACACAAATACATGAAACATTAGCCTGGGACTTGAATATACACTAGGGTAAAGACAATTCCCCTATATCTTCGGCCAATAGGGAATGTTTTATAGGGTTCAGTTATAATTTTTAATTTATGTGAATTATATAAAACTTCCAACAATCATAGGCTGATATGTTTCTGTACAAAATTTCAATTAGGAAATACAGTAATACTCATGTCGTAAAATGATTATGAAAAAGACTTGATATATTTATAATTTCATTGAAATAGTTTTTGTAAAATTGATAATGAATGAAATACCACTAATTTTATCTGTCAAACTGCGTTAGATGTTATCTATAAGGATAGGATTTGAAAACAAATGATAGACACTTAAATGTTCAAATTTAGGTTGAAATCATTGATGAAATCATATTCTGTCATTAATTCTAATATTTGATAAATTTCTTAAAATATTTTATATTAATTTCAATTATCAACGAATAGATAACATAAACGTACTTTGAAGTGTTTATATAGAGCAATATAATCAATATGTAAGACCATATAAATCCGTATTGGTTACCATAGTTCAAAACATAGGTGTAAGGTCATTGGTAATTCCGAGAAAAAGGATAATACTTGCCTTTGGATCAATGTATATATTTTAAAGTTCATCCGTTCTTATCATCTAAATTTATTATTGATTAAATTAATAAATGATTTAACTTAATATATTTTTCAGAAGCAATTAAATTTCGATTTGTAAAATATTCGATTAAAATATTTTTATCAATTAATTTTTTTTTTCAAATAATGAACTGATACAAAACTTGTGACACGAGCTCTGAAATTAACATTAAACAATTTCGAACGGTGGGAAAACATTAACACTTTCTTTTTATTGATATATTCATTTTCACTAAACATTTTTGCATCGTACTTACAAACGTCTAATCATTAGATAATTACTGACGTTTTACATCCTTCTTAAGAAGTAAACTAAAAATATTTAATGCAGTTTCGACCAGTTCTATAAAACAATATTCTAATAAGTAATATTGTTTGATGATTCAGATATTTGAACTGTAAAAAATATAGGAAAAATATAATTATTCTGTATTATACGACTTCCGTGTTTCGTCAAACTCTGACATTTTTAGTACAGTTTATTATTTATAATTGGGATGCAATTTGAAAGAATGTAGACCTATAAATTCCCTTTGTCTCACGTCTGTCTGTCTGTCTGTCCATCCTTAATTTCGAGAACACAGTTAGATAGATGAAAGGTAAGATAGATATGGAAATCTAAAGGGTAGAAGGCCCCCGATTAAGTATATATGAACTTCAATGCTAAACTGGAAGTCGCGTTATTTCAATTCACTTGAAAGGAATTATCTTTTTGTTTTTAGTTTTGTAATGCTTATAAGTTTTAAATTATTTATGATATGTTATAAATATAAATAATTTAACATTAAAAACACATATTTCTTTATTTTTAAACGAATTATTAAGACCAAAATTTATAGAGTTACTTGATAAGTAGTATGCTTGCACTTTATCAGTTTATGAAAGTTTTATTATCTGATTATTTTCATTAGATTGAATATTTTTTTTAGATTTTTGTTCATTTATCGGGCTCGATTTGTATAAATATGCGAGAATGGGACAATGACAATGAGTAAAAAATATATCTCATTGTTGAGTTTTGAGCGGATATACAAAATAAGGTGTCTGTTGTATACAGTCGACCCCCCTTATAACACTGTCGATTATTCCGTTTTATATTAATTTCATGTTGTACGAGTCACTTAGATTTTACAAATTCGTGAGCCATTCACAGCCCGGCACACGTATTTGTAAAATCTAAGTGACTTGTACAACATGGAATTCATATAACACGGAATTAGCAACAGTGTTATGGGGGGTCGACTGTACAGTACTCGTTTTTACTTTTAATTTTTGTAGTACAGTATTATATAAAATAAAAATACGTTGGTAGGAGGAACAATTTTCTGGTAGGTTTACAAAAATATTAGAGATATGTCCCCTCTGCCTCATATGGACATCGATGCCGATGGGTTATACTTTCTCAGTTATTTTTATAATGCAAACAATATTAAAATTGGGATAAGATATGTATAAAATAGTAGTATGCCCCAATACATCATAGAAAAAGTTTTTAAAAAATTGTAAAAATTCTAAACAGGAAAACTGATTATGAAAGAATTTTATCGCAAAAATATTAATTGACTTCCTAAATTATCTAAGAATAATGTAATCATCAGAACAACTTCCTTGAAAATGTTGCTATACTTATAATTATTTCCTCAATTATAAAGTTGTTATAACAATTGTGAAAATTGCAACCATATTAGGCTTACTTTTAATCTCATAACTTATTTATAATAAAATGTATATATGTAATACTTAATCCATTTTTTCAGTATCAGTCATATATGATTTATATTAAAAATAAATCTTTTATAATAAATTATTTATGTTTTAAAATTAGTGATAAATCTGTTTTACACATTTGTTAACAAAGGAATTTTATATTTAAAATTTTTACGAGTAAAACATATTTATTTGATTTTTTTTTTAGTTAATTCTCCATTTTCCTATATCAACTAGAAGTAAAATATATGTGTTATCTAATATTACTCATTATTTCATAGGCTTTACAATAAAAATATAATGTTTTTTAAAATACATTATTATAAAATTACATTATGGTATATTTTATAATTTAAGTTAGTCTACTATTTGGTAATTTTTTAGAAACCATTTTTGAAATGCATACAAAATAACCCGCAAATAACGACAACCTCCGAACAATGGTGTTTTTTGTTCCTGTCAGTGGCCGTTGTTTACAGGTTTCGCAGTAATTGAAAATTTCTTAAAATAATTTAAAACTAATTCTAGCGTTCTTATCTATTTATCCTCCCAATTACCGATATTATTTAAATATTGTTTAAATAATTACTAATCGAATATTTAATATGTTGTAATTCCTTATTACTTCAATTTTTGATATATCTGTTACAACTGAACATGTAGCATTTTTTAAAATATAATAATTTATTTTATAAAAATTACATTAGTTTAAAAAGAATTTAGTATAAAAACAATTATTTGCAAATGTACAAAATTGTTGTTCAGTTACAAGTGTACAGAATTTATTGATCTTTCCTTTCTTATACTGATTAGATTGTACTCAGGAAGTCAAACTTACTTCACATCATTTTAAAACGTAAGCATTTCTTAGTAATTACATTATTAATTTTATAAAATTATATTTAGTTTATTTAAAATTTAATACTTAATTATTCTATAAAATTATAATATAATAAACTTTACTTATTAAGTTATATAAAATGAATTTTAGTTTAAGTATACAATTGCAAAACTCTACTACATAATTAAGAATGTAGCATTATGATTTTCTATGTAACTACAGTGGCCAAATTGCGGCTCTTTTAGATCCTTATTGCGTCTTTCGTGACCCCTATATAAACCCCTATATATATATATATATATACAGTATACAGGTTATATATGAAATACTGTTCCAATAGAGGATGAGGCTCTCTTGTATTTCTGATACTTGGTATACTGATCCTATCGTGACAAGGTTTGGCCACCCCCTGCTATATAATCAGAACTTATATAAAATATATGTTTAATTTTTTTCTACTTCTCGAGGAGATAGTGTAAGTAACAATGTTTATACCGTAATAAATTGAAAATATTTTATAATAATATTAATGAGTTATATGTATAACTATTTCTCTGATAATTAAAATTTAAATGAAATAAAAGAACATAGGAACAAATGCAATTTTTCAGCCTAATTATAGTTTTTGAATTTAGCTTTACACGATAAATTTTTTTTTCCTTTTTACTTTTTTTGTTTAGAATATTCTACATCTTTATTATTAATTTTCGAATTAATATGTATTTTGTATTTTTAAATACTATTTAATAATGTAAGCTTTTACTTTTATGAATTTATTATTTGTGCTCTTATAAAAAATTTTTAAAGTTTCAGGATGAGAAAATTATTAGTGATAATTCTTTTAAGCTGCATTATCTCAGTTTTGTGTAAAAACGGTACGTACTGTACAATACATACTTTATTTTCGCTGTTAAATATATTAACTGAAAGTAAAATTATATCATACATTTACAATATTATTTTAGGTCCTTTTGATTATCCAAAAAATCTCGGGTTGCCTTGTGGAAATTCCTGGAGAGTTTGTGACAAACTGTGTAATAAGCATGGATACAGGTTTTCAAAATGTATGAATAATAGATGCCATTGTTACATATAATCCTCATTAAATTTGAATTAATAAATACATGCACTCAACAAAATGAGTAGTATTTGTTCTTTAATACTTCAAAAATAAAATAAATAGTCTTTTTCATTGATAATAAATTTCATATAAATTATTAAGATTGTTTTTTGAATTATAAAACATCCTTTCAAGACGTTATACATAATACATTATTATTTTAGAATTTATAATTATTTACCTTATTAAATTAGGTTAATGCAATATAATTCTGTACAAGCTAATAATTCCATATAAGTCTATATAACTTTTATACAATTTATATATTAGAAGGTCATGTAATATATTTACAATGGCTTTGTTATTTTTGTTGGTTATCAATCATAAATAAAATTTTAGTGTTATATCAAAGAAACATTTTAATTTAATAATTTAATTAACTTACAAACATTTTAACGTTGTATATGAAATTTTAAAAATAAGAAAATTTGATGGTTGTTTTAGATTGGAATAAATTTAAAATTTTTCATACCAAATCAAGATAAAATGATATATTTTAACTTCTCTATTTAATCCTAGTTACATACTTTTCTATAATTAATCATAATTTTTTTTTAATTTTTTAAAAATGTACACATGGAAGAGAGTTAATCTTGTTATAGAGAATTGATAGACATTCACATTGTCATTTATTTTCGTTAATCATGAGTTGTTTGCTCATATTGTAGCTTATTGCCAGCTTTACATTTTTCAATAGTCAATATAAAAATAAGAATACTTTAACCACAGATTACTAAATAAACATGGACGTTTTTAAAACTCATTTTATCTCATACCAAATTATGACTAACGTGTAAATTTTATTTTAATCTTATTTACATCAATTATATAGTCCTTAAACTTCTTTCAATGTTTACTGTACTAGCAAAAAATAAATAAAAAAATAAAAAATATGCTAATATANATTTTTAAAGTTTCAGGATGAGAAAATTATTAGTGATAATTCTTTTAAGCTGCATTATCTCAGTTTTGTGTAAAAACGGTACGTACTGTACAATACATACTTTATTTTCGCTGTTAAATATATTAACTGAAAGTAAAATTATATCATACATTTACAATATTATTTTAGGTCCTTTTGATTATCCAAAAAATCTCGGGTTGCCTTGTGGAAATTCCTGGAGAGTTTGTGACAAACTGTGTAATAAGCATGGATACAGGTTTTCAAAATGTATGAATAATAGATGCCATTGTTACATATAATCCTCATTAAATTTGAATTAATAAATACATGCACTCAACAAAATGAGTAGTATTTGTTCTTTAATACTTCAAAAATAAAATAAATAGTCTTTTTCATTGATAATAAATTTCATATAAATTATTAAGATTGTTTTTTGAATTATAAAACATCCTTTCAAGACGTTATACATAATACATTATTATTTTAGAATTTATAATTATTTACCTTATTAAATTAGGTTAATGCAATATAATTCTGTACAAGCTAATAATTCCATATAAGTCTATATAACTTTTATACAATTTATATATTAGAAGGTCATGTAATATATTTACAATGGCTTTGTTATTTTTGTTGGTTATCAATCATAAATAAAATTTTAGTGTTATATCAAAGAAACATTTTAATTTAATAATTTAATTAACTTACAAACATTTTAACGTTGTATATGAAATTTTAAAAATAAGAAAATTTGATGGTTGTTTTAGATTGGAATAAATTTAAAATTTTTCATACCAAATCAAGATAAAATGATATATTTTAACTTCTCTATTTAATCCTAGTTACATACTTTTCTATAATTAATCATAATTTTTTTTTAATTTTTTAAAAATGTACACATGGAAGAGAGTTAATCTTGTTATAGAGAATTGATAGACATTCACATTGTCATTTATTTTCGTTAATCATGAGTTGTTTGCTCATATTGTAGCTTATTGCCAGCTTTACATTTTTCAATAGTCAATATAAAAATAAGAATACTTTAACCACAGATTACTAAATAAACATGGACGTTTTTAAAACTCATTTTATCTCATACCAAATTATGACTAACGTGTAAATTTTATTTTAATCTTATTTACATCAATTATATAGTCCTTAAACTTCTTTCAATGTTTACTGTACTAGCAAAAAATAAATAAAAAAATAAAGAAATATGCTAATATAATTGACGTTTATCAGTAAAAAATGACACAATATTTTTAAGCAGTATAAAATGAGTTATGTTTCTACTTTTAATAAATAGATTGAAATAAACTTTTTAATATTTATCTTTATGAGTAAATTAAACTTCCTATTCTCTATTATTGAATATTGCTTATCAATATCATTTTAAGAAATATACTTTAAAATATAAAATAAATATAAATATAGAGAGAGATAAAGCTTTTTTTTTTAGAGGAAAGATATAGAGAAAAATTATAATGCATTTAAATTTATAATTTATTTAAAAATTATTTTTATTTATGTAAACAGAATTGTTATTTTAATTTAAGCATTAATTTTGTTCTTATTTACACATGGATATTGTGAAATTTTTATAAGTTTATACGTGAAGACTGCAAAGTGCTTGAATTAAAAAGAGGAATCTTAAAATAACGTAAAAAATACCGAAACCTACGAAGAATTCATTGACAAGAAAATGAATATTAACGGATAATTTAAGATAAAAATCAAATAATTTTATGCCTTTCCATTGTAAATTTATTGTGATTATGTTGTACAATTATATTGAGAAAGTCTACAAATTTAGAGACCAGTTAAGATTTTATTAAATTTTATAAGAATATTTAATTACAGAATCTTTCAAGAATTATATAAAAAATTAATAAATTTTCATCATAAAGATGATAATATTCTTAAAATTTTGTGGTAAATTTTCGAAAATCTTCATTATCTTCTGAAATATTTGTAATGAAAGTTTAAAATTGAAAGGAAAAATAAATACCATATATAAAAATTTAATTTAAATAAAAAATAAATATATTACCTTTCCGTTAAATGTAATAATTTCTGATATTACCCATAAAATTTGAATTATTTCGACCTCTTAAAAAGCATAAATATAAAGAAATAAAATTTAAGTTTAAATTTTAAAACATATTTAGAAAATAACAAGACGATAATACTTACGATACTGGATCTAAGTGCACACTGTAAAAATAATTTTGTTTTTTAAAGTATAAATTAAGTATATATTATATCTTATATAAACTATATAATATATTCATGATATTATTTCCATGTTTGGCTTTAGGAAATTTTAGGAAATGATGTTTGGAATTCTTTATTAATTGTTCTTGTGGTATGTTCTCCACCCACATATCTTCCTGTATGTTCACATTCATTAGTGGGGCCATAACTATTTTAAGATAATTAATGATTAATTTCAGTGATGAGAATAACAAATCTTAATTTAAAATAAATTTTCTTACATTTCATCAAGAAATACGTTTTGTGGAGACTGCAAATTTGTTATTGGGCGATTCATACCTTCAGGTGTTCTTCTGAGTAATCTAAATATGAAAAATATTGATTAAATATAGAAAACTAATTTTAAATTAAATACAAATTTAATATCAATCTTTATATCTTACGTATTTTGATTCTTATGAACTGGCCTTTCGCATGAAATACATTTTGCAAATGACCTAAAAATCAAATAATGACAGTTTAAAGTTAACTTTAAATGTATTTTATAAATTCGAATAGTATAACATTTCAAATTATATTCGTAATTTTTTATTTATTTATTCTTGATATTTCAGTAATATTTTCATAAATAGTCAGGATAACAGTACATTAATTATCGATATTGTAATCATACACAGTAGTGTATAGGCTATGTCTTAAAATGAAATCATAAATGAGTTATAATGAACAATAAACACGCTCATAACAATAAATGGTAAGTTTATTTGTAAACATAATTATTGTTAATTATAACTTGGCACCATTAGCTGCAAATATCAAAACAAATCTGGATGTATAGGAAGCTGCTTGTTCTGGAATTATCATTATGATTTCAAATTGCAGCCCAATAAAATAAATTACTCTATGCTGTGGCAAAACATTGTCTACAAAAATATATTGCAAATAAAAGGAAATAAAATAAATGATAATTTAAGATGTATTATAGATAAATCATGGCATCCGATGCTGGGGGTAGATGGCATGCAAATAGATTAATTTAAAATTAAACAGTCGTGTAATTGTTAATTCCTTTTGAGTAAAACTTTAGTTGATATTAGTGCCTTTTAAGTAATTTGTGTTAAGAAGGGAAGGGGGGAAAAATGTGGTGAATCTCTTTTGATAAGAGTTTTTTTTTTTTAATGTCCATTTTTAATAGTTTTACCGAAAAGTAAATTGTTATAAAAATTATAAAATNCTTTTGTTCCCACTCTGCTAAAAGGTCACTACTTTACATCTCCCACCGACAAGGTTCAAACTGCGCTTTAACAAAAGCCTGTTTGACCTAAACATACACCATCACCACGCACCATAATTATCATTGCACAAATCAGTTCTTACAATACATTTCCCCCTTTTTCTAATATAAGGAGCAGATTACTATATACATTATTGTATACTAGCAAATTATTTACCGTTATAAGTACTTAACATCTAGCAGACACATATTTACAGTACAATACTATCATTGACAAATTGTTCCATTAATCTATATTCAGAATCACCTTGTAGATATCACTTATATCTATCCGAAGGACTTGATACGAAATTTAATATGCCTTGTTCGTCTGATCTGGAGGTTCCGGATTATTCCTGACTTCCAGTCTGCATAGGACGTCAGCATTAGTGCGTTTTTTCCTTTTGCTGCGCCTGGGCTCGACATTGTATTTCCGTGACGCTAATGCCCGACGTGCCAATTTCGCACTATGAAGTGTACGGTCATTTTGCTGGAAGGGAGTGAGTACCTGACGACTACTACGTGCCCTGCAATATTTTTTTATATTACCCTTTTTATCCACCTTAGGGTTTGGACTATCTCCTTTGTTAACCCTTTCAATACAGTACACCAAATACACAAAAATTAAAGACAAGTAACATATTTATTTACCAATACACAAACACAATCGCTGCAGCAAGCTCGTAATCGCTTTTCTTAGAAACTTCATTGTAGGTACAGTACTTACACAAAAAGAGCTCTGATATCCAAAGTCGCATAAAGTCGCCGAATTTTTTTATTTCACTGATTTTCCTATAAGTTATATTACTGTCAGATGCAAAAATTAGATTGGATCAATTTTGGCAATTTTACTTACACTTATTTTAATTTTTCTTCATTGTAAGTTTATCTATAATTATTTATATGAAAATATCTATGATATTTTCATATAAATAATTATATTTTAGCTCATTCGTGGCACAGTGTGGCAGCGGGCCATAGTTTGGCGACTCCTGCAGTAGAGGAAAGCAACATTTCTGTCACTTCCCTTTGTATTTTCATAGAGTTTAAAATAAAGTATAAATAATCGAAATGTCACAATTACACAAATACATGAAACATTAGCCTGGGACTTGAATATACACTAGGGTAAAGACAATTCCCCTATATCTTCGGCCAATAGGGAATGTTTTATAGGGTTCAGTTATAATTTTTAATTTATGTGAATTATATAAAACTTCCAACAATCATAGGCTGATATGTTTCTGTACAAAATTTCAATTAGGAAATAATACTCATGTCGTAAAATGATTATGAAAAAGACTTGATATATTTATAATTTCATTGAAATAGTTTTTGTAAAATTGATAATGAATGAAATACCACTAATTTTATCTGTCAAACTGCGTTAGATGTTATCTATAAGGATAGGATTTGAAAACAAATGATAGACACTTAAATGTTCAAATTTAGGTTGAAATCATTGATGAAATCATATTCTGTCATTAATTCTAATATTTGATAAATTTCTTAAAATATTTTATATTAATTTCAATTATCAACGAATAGATAACATAAACGTACTTTGAAGTGTTTATATAGAGCAATATAATCAATATGTAAGACCATATAAATCCGTATTGGTTACCATAGTTCAAAACATAGGTGTAAGGTCATTGGTAATTCCGAGAAAAAGGATAATACTTGCCTTTGGATCAATGTATATATTTTAAAGTTCATCCGTTCTTATCATCTAAATTTATTATTGATTAAATTAATAAATGATTTAACTTAATATATTTTTCAGAAGCAATTAAATTTCGATTTGTAAAATATTCGATTAAAATATTTTTATCAATTAATTTTTTTTTTCAAATAATGAACTGATACAAAACTTGTGACACGAGCTCTGAAATTAACATTAAACAATTTCGAACGGTGGGAAAACATTAACACTTTCTTTTTATTGATATATTCATTTTCACTAAACATTTTTGCATCGTACTTACAAACGTCTAATCATTAGATAATTACTGACGTTTTACATCCTTCTTAAGAAGTAAACTAAAAATATTTAATGCAGTTTCGACCAGTTCTATAAAACAATATTCTAATAAGTAATATTGTTTGATGATTCAGATATTTGAACTGTAAAAAATATAGGAAAAATATAATTATTCTGTATTATACGACTTCCGTGTTTCGTCAAACTCTGACATTTTTAGTACAGTTTATTATTTATAATTGGGATGCAATTTGAAAGAATGTAGACCTATAAATTCCCTTTGTCTCACGTCTGTCTGTCTGTCTGTCCATCCTTAATTTCGAGAACACAGTTAGATAGATGAAAGGTAAGATAGATATGGAAATCTAAAGGGTAGAAGGCCCCCGATTAAGTATATATGAACTTCAATGCTAAACTGGAAGTCGCGTTATTTCAATTCACTTGAAAGGAATTATCTTTTTGTTTTTAGTTTTGTAATGCTTATAAGTTTTAAATTATTTATGATATGTTATAAATATAAATAATTTAACATTAAAAACACATATTTCTTTATTTTTAAACGAATTATTAAGACCAAAATTTATAGAGTTACTTGATAAGTAGTATGCTTGCACTTTATCAGTTTATGAAAGTTTTATTATCTGATTATTTTCATTAGATTGAATATTTTTTTTAGATTTTTGTTCATTTATCGGGCTCGATTTGTATAAATATGCGAGAATGGGACAATGACAATGAGTAAAAAATATATCTCATTGTTGAGTTTTGAGCGGATATACAAAATAAGGTGTCTGTTGTATACAGTCGACCCCCCTTATAACACTGTCGATTATTCCGTTTTATATTAATTTCATGTTGTACGAGTCACTTAGATTTTACAAATTCGTGAGCCATTCACAGCCCGGCACACGTATTTGTAAAATCTAAGTGACTTGTACAACATGGAATTCATATAACACGGAATTAGCAACAGTGTTATGGGGGGGTCGACTGTACAGTACTCGTTTTTACTTTTAATTTTTGTAGTACAGTATTATATAAAATAAAAATACGTTGGTAGGAGGAACAATTTTCTGGTAGGTTTACAAAAATATTAGAGATATGTCCCCTCTGCCTCATATGGACATCGATGCCGATGGGTTATACTTTCTCAGTTATTTTTATAATGCAAACAATATTAAAATTGGGATAAGATATGTATAAAATAGTAGTATGCCCCAATACATCATAGAAAAAGTTTTTAAAAAATTGTAAAAATTCTAAACAGGAAAACTGATTATGAAAGAATTTTATCGCAAAAATATTAATTGACTTCCTAAATTATCTAAGAATAATGTAATCATCAGAACAACTTCCTTGAAAATGTTGCTATACTTATAATTATTTCCTCAATTATAAAGTTGTTATAACAATTGTGAAAATTGCAACCATATTAGGCTTACTTTTAATCTCATAACTTATTTATAATAAAATGTATATATGTAATACTTAATCCATTTTTTCAGTATCAGTCATATATGATTTATATTAAAAATAAATCTTTTATAATAAATTATTTATGTTTTAAAATTAGTGATAAATCTGTTTTACACATTTGTTAACAAAGGAATTTTATATTTAAAATTTTTACGAGTAAAACATATTTATTTGATTTTTTTTTAGTTAATTCTCCATTTTCCTATATCAACTAGAAGTAAAATATATGTGTTATCTAATATTACTCATTATTTCATAGGCTTTACAATAAAAATATAATGTTTTTTAAAATACATTATTATAAAATTACATTATGGTATATTTTATAATTTAAGTTAGTCTACTATTTGGTAATTTTTTAGAAACCATTTTTGAAATGCATACAAAATAACCCGCAAATAACGACAACCTCCGAACAATGGTGTTTTTTGTTCCTGTCAGTGGCCGTTGTTTACAGGTTTCGCAGTAATTGAAAATTTCTTAAAATAATTTAAAACTAATTCTAGCGTTCTTATCTATTTATCCTCCCAATTACCGATATTATTTAAATATTGTTTAAATAATTACTAATCGAATATTTAATATGTTGTAATTCCTTATTACTTCAATTTTTGATATATCTGTTACAACTGAACATGTAGCATTTTTTAAAATATAATAATTTATTTTATAAAAATTACATTAGTTTAAAAAGAATTTAGTATAAAAACAATTATTTGCAAATGTACAAAATTGTTGTTCAGTTACAAGTGTACAGAATTTATTGATCTTTCCTTTCTTATACTGATTAGATTGTACTCAGGAAGTCAAACTTACTTCACATCATTTTAAAACGTAAGCATTTCTTAGTAATTACATTATTAATTTTATAAAATTATATTTAGTTTATTTAAAATTTAATACTTAATTATTCTATAAAATTATAATATAATAAACTTTACTTATTAAGTTATATAAAATGAATTTTAGTTTAAGTATACAATTGCAAAACTCTACTACATAATTAAGAATGTAGCATTATGATTTTCTATGTAACTACAGTGGCCAAATTGCGGCTCTTTTAGATCCTTATTGCGTCTTTCGTGACCCCTATATAAACCCCTATATATATATATATATANGTATTTTGTATTTTTAAATACTATTTAATAATGTAAGCTTTTACTTTTATGAATTTATTATTTGTGCTCTTATAAAAAATTTTTAAAGTTTCAGGATGAGAAAATTATTAGTGATAATTCTTTTAAGCTGCATTATCTCAGTTTTGTGTAAAAACGGTACGTACTGTACAATACATACTTTATTTTCGCTGTTAAATATATTAACTGAAAGTAAAATTATATCATACATTTACAATATTATTTTAGGTCCTTTTGATTATCCAAAAAATCTCGGGTTGCCTTGTGGAAATTCCTGGAGAGTTTGTGACAAACTGTGTAATAAGCATGGATACAGGTTTTCAAAATGTATGAATAATAGATGCCATTGTTACATATAATCCTCATTAAATTTGAATTAATAAATACATGCACTCAACAAAATGAGTAGTATTTGTTCTTTAATACTTCAAAAATAAAATAAATAGTCTTTTTCATTGATAATAAATTTCATATAAATTATTAAGATTGTTTTTTGAATTATAAAACATCCTTTCAAGACGTTATACATAATACATTATTATTTTAGAATTTATAATTATTTACCTTATTAAATTAGGTTAATGCAATATAATTCTGTACAAGCTAATAATTCCATATAAGTCTATATAACTTTTATACAATTTATATATTAGAAGGTCATGTAATATATTTACAATGGCTTTGTTATTTTTGTTGGTTATCAATCATAAATAAAATTTTAGTGTTATATCAAAGAAACATTTTAATTTAATAATTTAATTAACTTACAAACATTTTAACGTTGTATATGAAATTTTAAAAATAAGAAAATTTGATGGTTGTTTTAGATTGGAATAAATTTAAAATTTTTCATACCAAATCAAGATAAAATGATATATTTTAACTTCTCTATTTAATCCTAGTTACATACTTTTCTATAATTAATCATAATTTTTTTTTAATTTTTTAAAAATGTACACATGGAAGAGAGTTAATCTTGTTATAGAGAATTGATAGACATTCACATTGTCATTTATTTTCGTTAATCATGAGTTGTTTGCTCATATTGTAGCTTATTGCCAGCTTTACATTTTTCAATAGTCAATATAAAAATAAGAATACTTTAACCACAGATTACTAAATAAACATGGACGTTTTTAAAACTCATTTTATCTCATACCAAATTATGACTAACGTGTAAATTTTATTTTAATCTTATTTACATCAATTATATAGTCCTTAAACTTCTTTCAATGTTTACTGTACTAGCAAAAAATAAATAAAAAAATAAAGAAATATGCTAATATAATTGACGTTTATCAGTAAAAAATGACACAATATTTTTAAGCAGTATAAAATGAGTTATGTTTCTACTTTTAATAAATAGATTGAAATAAACTTTTTAATATTTATCTTTATGAGTAAATTAAACTTCCTATTCTCTATTATTGAATATTGCTTATCAATATCATTTTAAGAAATATACTTTAAAATATAAAATAAATATAAATATAGAGAGAGATAAAGCTTTTTTTTTTAGAGGAAAGATATAGAGAAAAATTATAATGCATTTAAATTTATAATTTATTTAAAAATTATTTTTATTTATGTAAACAGAATTGTTATTTTAATTTAAGCATTAATTTTGTTCTTATTTACACATGGATATTGTGAAATTTTTATAAGTTTATACGTGAAGACTGCAAAGTGCTTGAATTAAAAAGAGGAATCTTAAAATAACGTAAAAAATACCGAAACCTACGAAGAATTCATTGACAAGAAAATGAATATTAACGGATAATTTAAGATAAAAATCAAATAATTTTATGCCTTTCCATTGTAAATTTATTGTGATTATGTTGTACAATTATATTGAGAAAGTCTACAAATTTAGAGACCAGTTAAGATTTTATTAAATTTTATAAGAATATTTAATTACAGAATCTTTCAAGAATTATATAAAAAATTAATAAATTTTCATCATAAAGATGATAATATTCTTAAAATTTTGTGGTAAATTTTCGAAAATCTTCATTATCTTCTGAAATATTTGTAATGAAAGTTTAAAATTGAAAGGAAAAATAAATACCATATATAAAAATTTAATTTAAATAAAAAATAAATATATTACCTTTCCGTTAAATGTAATAATTTCTGATATTACCCATAAAATTTGAATTATTTCGACCTCTTAAAAAGCATAAATATAAAGAAATAAAATTTAAGTTTAAATTTTAAAACATATTTAGAAAATAACAAGACGATAATACTTACGATACTGGATCTAAGTGCACACTGTAAAAATAATTTTGTTTTTTAAAGTATAAATTAAGTATATATTATATCTTATATAAACTATATAATATATTCATGATATTATTTCCATGTTTGGCTTTAGGAAATTTTAGGAAATGATGTTTGGAATTCTTTATTAATTGTTCTTGTGGTATGTTCTCCACCCACATATCTTCCTGTATGTTCACATTCATTAGTGGGGCCATAACTATTTTAAGATAATTAATGATTAATTTCAGTGATGAGAATAACAAATCTTAATTTAAAATAAATTTTCTTACATTTCATCAAGAAATACGTTTTGTGGAGACTGCAAATTTGTTATTGGGCGATTCATACCTTCAGGTGTTCTTCTGAGTAATCTAAATATGAAAAATATTGATTAAATATAGAAAACTAATTTTAAATTAAATACAAATTTAATATCAATCTTTATATCTTACGTATTTTGATTCTTATGAACTGGCCTTTCGCATGAAATACATTTTGCAAATGACCTAAAAATCAAATAATGACAGTTTAAAGTTAACTTTAAATGTATTTTATAAATTCGAATAGTATAACATTTCAAATTATATTCGTAATTTTTTATTTATTTATTCTTGATATTTCAGTAATATTTTCATAAATAGTCAGGATAACAGTACATTAATTATCGATATTGTAATCATACACAGTAGTGTATAGGCTATGTCTTAAAATGAAATCATAAATGAGTTATAATGAACAATAAACACGCTCATAACAATAAATGGTAAGTTTATTTGTAAACATAATTATTGTTAATTATAACTTGGCACCATTAGCTGCAAATATCAAAACAAATCTGGATGTATAGGAAGCTGCTTGTTCTGGAATTATCATTATGATTTCAAATTGCAGCCCAATAAAATAAATTACTCTATGCTGTGGCAAAACATTGTCTACAAAAATATATTGCAAATAAAAGGAAATAAAATAAATGATAATTTAAGATGTATTATAGATAAATCATGGCATCCGATGCTGGGGGTAGATGGCATGCAAATAGATTAATTTAAAATTAAACAGTCGTGTAATTGTTAATTCCTTTTGAGTAAAACTTTAGTTGATATTAGTGCCTTTTAAGTAATTTGTGTTAAGAAGGGAAGGGGGAAAAATGTGGTGAATCTCTTTTGATAAGAGTTTTTTTTTTTTTAATGTCCGTTTTTAATAGTTTTACCGAAAAGTAAATTGTTATAAAAATTATAAAATATTTTTATATAATAGTTGTAATCACTGTCATTATGTAGTATTGGATGTAATAATTTACGCTGTCTTTTTTACATGCATAAACATTTACAGTACTGTATAAACCAACTGTATTCGATCTCATGAGTAAGTCACAATTTTGAAAATGAATAAGAAAATATTTTTTGTAATTTTTGTTGTAAAATAATTTTAAATTAATTTTTATGGTAAGTTTTTGCTAAAGAGGGAATGTCGAAATGTTAAATAACTAGCATAGAAATATGTGTTACAATAAATATATGAAAAACGATTGTGGTTTTTTAGTTTTGTGGGCTCTTTCTTCTCGATGTAGCAAATCCTTAAATGAAGTAAGGTTCCCGTAAACATTTTTTGAATACTTAAAATAAGGACATAAAATAATGATTATAAACTTAAAGTAAATTAAGTATTACTGTAATTAATTTAAATGACTAAAACTTAGAATAAAACAAAATCAATTATATACGAATATTGTAGTACTCCTTCAACGCGATTTTTAATTCCTTTGAACATGGTTGATTACATACATGAATCAATAAACTTATTATAATTTTTGTGTAAATAACTCGAAATTGCCACGAACCATACATGAATCATAAATAAGTGATTATGACATATAAACATAAGCAGAATTATATACGATTATGCGCGACCTCAAAAACTTCGACTTATGACCAATTCAATTTACAATATCTGCATTTAAAATATACTCACGATTTTATTCCAGCAGGAATCGGTGCTTCGCATTCTACAATATATTGTAAATGTTTCAATCTTATAGCTATGGCTTTCAAACGAGATTGAAGGACTTCAGTCATATTTTCTAATTCAATTTTTTCTACTTTATGATCCAATTCAGTCGTAAGAGTATCCACAGTTTTGATAAGACTGTGTTCCTTAAAAAATATTATTTCACTATTTAGAAATACGATAGATATCGCTTATTATAATCGCGCCTATTGTTATCAGTCATCTAATATTATCAGAACAAACATGTCCTAAATCATATATAAATTAAGTAACATTAGAAAAGTTTGGCTTATTGTAATCAGAAATTCTCTTATTATTATCATTAAGTTACTAATGATAATATTTACTTAGATGTTAATAATAGCCAAGAGACCAAACAGGTTTACGAGCCATGTTGTTTCAATAAAAATGTTAGAACAATGGTCAGAAACAATTTAAATTAAATTATCCATGATATTACATTCAATAAATATGTAATACTGTAGTTTTAATTTCGATTTCCGGCACTTTTTACTTTATTTATTAGATAGCTGTAAAGGTTTATAGGTTATAACTTTGCTATTGTTGAAGACTGATCTTCATATCTGTTTAACTAAGTATAATTACTGTGCATCTTAGCATAATAAAAAAGCAAAGAAAGAAACGCAGAGATTTTTGCCTCAAAAATAGACTTCAAACTACAGAATTGTGAGGATAAGCTTTAGTCTGACACCAGTCCGCGAATATTATTTGACTATTTTTTCCTTTTTTTTTCTTCTTTACATAGCTACGTATTTGTTTATTAGTTTAAGACTTATCATACCACTTTTCCTTAGGAAACTTGACTTAGACGTTTTTCTTTTAATTTTAAAAAACCGTGTAAATTTTAAAATATCAACAATAAAAATCTAAGAACATGATTTGCAAGAGAAATCGAACAGGAAAGTATAGTGAAGTTGTCAAAAAATATCCAGCAATTAACGCTGAATGAAATATTTAAATCGTCATTATTTTTATTATTATAAATAAATTTCTAAGTTAATTATTAAATTTATTTTTTAAAATGTTTAATTATCTCAACATGCTTTTAAATTATCTATTTTAACAAAACCAGAATTTTCATTGTGGTTTAATTACTTTCATTTATCAATATTGGCTAGTTTCAAATCGATTACAATAAGAGGTACTAGTCGTATTATAGATGGTAATTATCTTACTTGTAAAGTAATCTTTGCCATCATTTCTGCAATATTATTATTTAATCCTTCACATGTTGTTAAATATTCATCTTTATCAATTTTATTCTTTACAGTTTGTAAATCGGCTTTCTATTGAAAATGAAAAAAATTGAAGTTAGTTCATTCGTCAGAAATGTTTTCAACATTTTTTAAAGAAAATTACGTTATCATATTATAATTTCTTGTGTCGCAGAAAGCAAATTATCTTAATATATCTTAAGAATTTTTTATGTCAGATATTTTAAAGCGATAGTAATAAAATGCTATAAAATCTATTATTCTAAAAGTTTTACCTTCAGTAAAATTCTTTCTTATTCTGTATCTGTATTAATTAATCATCACCACGAAAGTTCAGATTGGCATGTAAGAAATTAAATTAAAAGCTAACGATACTGACTTAATAGTAAATTGATATTTCTTGTCAATTTGGTGTTATTTACATCAATATTTAAGGTATATTCCGTTTTTCTCTTATTTAAAATAATAAAAATATAATATTTACAACTATTCATGAAAGTTTGTGCACAGAAATTCAGTTCTTGAAAAATATATTATTTCATTTACATCACCGAATTATATTTTGAGATCACTATTAATGTTAATGTATATACGTGTTTGTGGGGTGCACGATTTTGTTTGCCTCTTTAAAGCTTAATAACCCTCATGTTTATGTCGAAAATTTTTGAAATTCTGCAGGGACATTTGTGTATTAGGGGATTTATACTGTTAAATTTTGGTGGTTAAAGGTCGAGGGGTAGTGAGATAGAAGGAGGGTTATGTGTCATATGTTAAATAGGGGGGACGTAATGACGATCTTGTTATTAGCATTTACAATTTTTTTTTTAAAACNTAAAATTATATTTAGTTTATTTAAAATTTAATACTTAATTATTCTATAAAATTATAATATAATAAACTTTACTTATTAAGTTATATAAAATGAATTTTAGTTTAAGTATACAATTGCAAAACTCTACTACATAATTAAGAATGTAGCATTATGATTTTCTATGTAACTACAGTGGCCAAATTGCGGCTCTTTTAGATCCTTATTGCGTCTTTCGTGACCCCTATATAAACCCCTATATATATATATATATATATATATATACAGTATACAGGTTATATATGAAATACTGTTCCAATAGAGGATGAGGCTATCTTGTATTTCTGATACTTGGTATACTGATCCTATCGTGACAAGGTTTGGCCACCCTTGCAATATACTATGAATATNCAGTTTTAAATGTTGCCGAGAAAGTTAAGCAATTCGTTGCTGGATATTTGTGAATACTTTCAAAAGCTGTATTCTTTATTTTAAATTTTAAAATTTCATTTTATTGAGAAAAATGTATGTATATTAACATAGCTCACAAACTTTGCACATTCAATTCTCTTCAAAGATAGAGGCCCTGTTCGGGGTCTAGTTGTTGTATGTCGTTGAATCATAGTCTACAATAAAAGATTGATCTGTGGTGTTTTTTAGATTTCTCTACTTGTCTTAACGAAGGAATTTTGTACAATACTTTGTGACTTTCTACAATATTAAAAGTNGAATTAATATGTATTTTGTATTTTTAAATACTATTTAATAATGTAAGCTTTTACTTTTATGAATTTATTATTTGTGCTCTTATAAAAAATTTTTAAAGTTTCAGGATGAGAAAATTATTAGTGATAATTCTTTTAAGCTGCATTATCTCAGTTTTGTGTAAAAACGGTACGTACTGTACAATACATACTTTATTTTCGCTGTTAAATATATTAACTGAAAGTAAAATTATATCGTACATTTACAATATTATTTTAGGTCCTTTTGATTATCCAAAAAATCTCGGGTTGCCTTGTGGAAATTCCTGGAGAGTTTGTGACAAACTGTGTAATAAGCATGGATACAGGTTTTCAAAATGTATGAATAATAGATGCCATTGTTACATATAATCCTCATTAAATTTGAATTAATAAATACATGCACTCAACAAAATGAGTAGTATTTGTTCTTTAATACTTCAAAAATAAAATAAATAGTCTTTTTCATTGATAATAAATTTCATATAAATTATTAAGATTGTTTTTTGAATTATAAAACATCCTTTCAAGACGTTATACATACATAATACATTATTATTTTAGAATTTATAATTATTTACCTTATTAAATTAGGTTAATGCAATATAATTCTGTACAAGCTAATAATTCCATATAAGTCTATATAACTTTTATACAATTTATATATTAGAAGGTCATGTAATATATTTACAATGGCTTTGTTATTTTTGTTGGTTATCAATCATAAATAAAATTTTAGTGTTATATCAAAGAAACATTTTAATTTAATAATTTAATTAACTTACAAACATTTTAACGTTGTATATGAAATTTTAAAAATAAGAAAATTTGATGGTTGTTTTAGATTGGAATAAATTTAAAATTTTTCATACCAAATCAAGATAAAATGATATATTTTAACTTCTCTATTTAATCCTAGTTACATACTTTTCTATAATTAATCATAATTTTTTTTTAATTTTTTAAAAATGTACACATGGAAGAGAGTTAATCTTGTTATAGAGAATTGATAGACATTCACATTGTCATTTATTTTCGTTAATCATGAGTTGTTTGCTCATATTGTAGCTTATTGCCAGCTTTACATTTTTCAATAGTCAATATAAAAATAAGAATACTTTAACCACAGATTACTAAATAAACATGGACGTTTTTAAAACTCATTTTATCTCATACCAAATTATGACTAACGTGTAAATTTTATTTTAATCTTATTTACATCAATTATATAGTCCTTAAACTTCTTTCAATGTTTACTGTACTAGCAAAAAATAAATAAAAAAATAAAGAAATATGCTAATATAATTGACGTTTATCAGTAAAAAATGACACAATATTTTTAAGCAGTATAAAATGAGTTATGTTTCTACTTTTAATAAATAGATTGAAATAAACTTTTTAATATTTATCTTTATGAGTAAATTAAACTTCCTATTCTCTATTATTGAATATTGCTTATCAATATCATTTTAAGAAATATACTTTAAAATATAAAATAAATATAAATATAGAGAGAGATAAAGCTTTTTTTTTTAGAGGAAAGATATAGAGAAAAATTATAATGCATTTAAATTTATAATTTATTTAAAAATTATTTTTATTTATGTAAACAGAATTGTTATTTTAATTTAAGCATTAATTTTGTTCTTATTTACACATGGATATTGTGAAATTTTTATAAGTTTATACGTGAAGACTGCAAAGTGCTTGAATTAAAAAGAGGAATCTTAAAATAACGTAAAAAATACCGAAACCTACGAAGAATTCATTGACAAGAAAATGAATATTAACGGATAATTTAAGATAAAAATCAAATAATTTTATGCCTTTCCATTGTAAATTTATTGTGATTATGTTGTACAATTATATTGAGAAAGTCTACAAATTTAGAGACCAGTTAAGATTTTATTAAATTTTATAAGAATATTTAATTACAGAATCTTTCAAGAATTATATAAAAAATTAATAAATTTTCATCATAAAGATGATAATATTCTTAAAATTTTGTGGTAAATTTTCGAAAATCTTCATTATCTTCTGAAATATTTGTAATGAAAGTTTAAAATTGAAAGGAAAAATAAATACCATATATAAAAATTTAATTTAAATAAAAAATAAATATATTACCTTTCCGTTAAATGTAATAATTTCTGATATTACCCATAAAATTTGAATTATTTCGACCTCTTAAAAAGCATAAATATAAAGAAATAAAATTTAAGTTTAAATTTTAAAACATATTTAGAAAATAACAAGACGATAATACTTACGATACTGGATCTAAGTGCACACTGTAAAAATAATTTTGTTTTTTAAAGTATAAATTAAGTATATATTATATCTTATATAAACTATATAATATATTCATGATATTATTTCCATGTTTGGCTTTAGGAAATTTTAGGAAATGATGTTTGGAATTCTTTATTAATTGTTCTTGTGGTATGTTCTCCACCCACATATCTTCCTGTATGTTCACATTCATTAGTGGGGCCATAACTATTTTAAGATAATTAATGATTAATTTCAGTGATGAGAATAACAAATCTTAATTTAAAATAAATTTTCTTACATTTCATCAAGAAATACGTTTTGTGGAGACTGCAAATTTGTTATTGGGCGATTCATACCTTCAGGTGTTCTTCTGAGTAATCTAAATATGAAAAATATTGATTAAATATAGTAAACTAATTTTAAATTAAATACAAATTTAATATCAATCTTTATATCTTACGTATTTTGATTCTTATGAACTGGCCTTTCGCATGAAATACATTTTGCAAATGACCTAAAAATCAAATAATGACAGTTTAAAGTTAACTTTAAATGTATTTTATAAATTCGAATAGTATAACATTTCAAATTATATTCGTAATTTTTTATTTATTTATTCTTGATATTTCAGTAATATTTTCATAAATAGTCAGGATAACAGTACATTAATTATCGATATTGTAATCATACACAGTAGTGTATAGGCTATGTCTTAAAATGAAATCATAAATGAGTTATAATGAACAATAAACACGCTCATAACAATAAATGGTAAGTTTATTTGTAAACATAATTATTGTTAATTATAACTTGGCACCATTAGCTGCAAATATCAAAACAAATCTGGATGTATAGGAAGCTGCTTGTTCTGGAATTATCATTATGATTTCAAATTGCAGCCCAATAAAATAAATTACTCTATGCTGTGGCAAAACATTGTCTACAAAAATATATTGCAAATAAAAGGAAATAAAATAAATGATAATTTAAGATGTATTATAGATAAATCATGGCATCCGATGCTGGGGGTAGATGGCATGCAAATAGATTAATTTAAAATTAAACAGTCGTGTAATTGTTAATTCCTTTTGAGTAAAACTTTAGTTGATATTAGTGCCTTTTAAGTAATTTGTGTTAAGAAGGGAAGGGGGGAAAAATGTGGTGAATCTCTTTTGATAAGAGTTTTTTTTTTTTTAATGTCCGTTTTTAATAGTTTTACCGAAAAGTAAATTGTTATAAAAATTATAAAATATTTTTATATAATAGTTGTAATCACTGTCATTATGTAGTATTGGATGTAATAATTTACGCTGTCTTTTTTACATGCATAAACATTTACAGTACTGTATAAACCAACTGTATTCGATCTCATGAGTAAGTCACAATTTTGAAAATGAATAAGAAAATATTTTTTGTAATTTTTGTTGTAAAATAATTTTAAATTAATTTTTATGGTAAGTTTTTGCTAAAGAGGGAATGTCGAAATGTTAAATAACTAGCATAGAAATATGTGTTACAATAAATATATGAAAAACGATTGTGGTTTTTTAGTTTTGTGGGCTCTTTCTTCTCGATGTAGCAAATCCTTAAATGAAGTAAGGTTCCCGTAAACATTTTTTGAATACTTAAAATAAGGACATAAAATAATGATTATAAACTTAAAGTAAATTAAGTATTACTGTAATTAATTTAAATGACTAAAACTTAGAATAAAACAAAATCAATTATATACGAATATTGTAGTACTCCTTCAACGCGATTTTTAATTCCTTTGAACATGGTTGATTACATACATGAATCAATAAACTTATTATAATTTTTGTGTAAATAACTCGAAATTGCCACGAACCATACATGAATCATAAATAAGTGATTATGACATATAAACATAAGCAGAATTATATACGATTATGCGCGACCTCAAAAACTTCGACTTATGACCAATTCAATTTACAATATCTGCATTTAAAATATACTCACGATTTTATTCCAGCAGGAATCGGTGCTTCGCATTCTACAATATATTGTAAATGTTTCAATCTTATAGCTATGGCTTTCAAACGAGATTGAAGGACTTCAGTCATATTTTCTAATTCAATTTTTTCTACTTTATGATCCAATTCAGTCGTAAGAGTATCCACAGTTTTGATAAGACTGTGTTCCTTAAAAAATATTATTTCACTATTTAGAAATACGATAGATATCGCTTATTATAATCGCGCCTATTGTTATCAGTCATCTAATATTATCAGAACAAACATGTCCTAAATCATATATAAATTAAGTAACATTAGAAAAGTTTGGCTTATTGTAATCAGAAATTCTCTTATTATTATCATTAAGTTACTAATGATAATATTTACTTAGATGTTAATAATAGCCAAGAGACCAAACAGGTTTACGAGCCATGTTGTTTCAATAAAAATGTTAGAACAATGGTCAGAAACAATTTAAATTAAATTATCCATGATATTACATTCAATAAATATGTAATACTGTAGTTTTAATTTCGATTTCCGGCACTTTTTACTTTATTTATTAGATAGCTGTAAAGGTTTATAGGTTATAACTTTGCTATTGTTGAAGACTGATCTTCATATCTGTTTAACTAAGTATAATTACTGTGCATCTTAGCATAATAAAAAAGCAAAGAAAGAAACGCAGAGATTTTTGCCTCAAAAATAGACTTCAAACTACAGAATTGTGAGGATAAGCTTTAGTCTGACACCAGTCCGCGAATATTATTTGACTATTTTTTCCTTTTTTTTTCTTCTTTACATAGCTACGTATTTGTTTATTAGTTTAAGACTTATCATACCACTTTTCCTTATGAAACTTGACTTAAACGTTTTTCTTTTAATTTTAAAAAACCGTGTAAATGTTAAAATATCAACAATAAAAATCTAAGAACATGATTTGCAAGAGAAATCGAACAGGAAAGTATAGTGAAGTTGTCAAAAAATATCCAGCAATTAACGCTGAATGAAATATTTAAATCGTCATTATTTTTATTATTATAAATAAATTTCTAAGTTAATTATTAAATTTATTTTTTAAAATGTTTAATTATCTCAACATGCTTTTAAATTATCTATTTTAACAAAACCAGAATTTTCATTGTGGTTTAATTACTTTCATTGAATGTTATCATTCGGTTATTATTATCAATATTGGCTAGTTTCAAATCGATTACAATAAGAGGTACTAGTCGTATTATAGATGGTAATTATCTTACTTGTAAAGTAATCTTTGCCATCATTTCTGCAATATTATTATTTAATCCTTCACATGTTGTTAAATATTCATCTTTATCAATTTTATTCTTTACAGTTTGTAAATCGGCTTTCTATTGAAAATGAAAAAAATTGAAGTTAGTTCATTCGTCAGAAATGTTTTCAACATTTTTTAAAGAAAATTACGTTATCATATTATAATTTCTTGTGTCGCAGAAAGCAAATTATCTTAATATATCTTAAGAATTTTTTATGTCAGATATTTTAAAGCGATAGTAATAAAATGCTATAAAATCTATTATTCTAAAAGTTTTACCTTCAGTAAAATTCTTTCTTATTCTGTATCTGTATTAATTAATCATCACCACGAAAGTTCAGATTGGCATGTAAGAAATTAAATTAAAAGCTAACGATACTGACTTAATAGTAAATTGATATTTCTTGTCAATTTGGTGTTATTTACATCAATATTTAAGGTATATTCCGTTTTTCTCTTATTTAAAATAATAAAAATATAATATTTACAACTATTCATGAAAGTTTGTGCACAGAAATTCAGTTCTTGAAAAATATATTATTTCATTTACATCACCGAATTATATTTTGAGATCACTATTAATGTTAATGTATATACGTGTTTGTGGGGTGCACGATTTTGTTTGCCTCTTTAAAGCTTAATAACCCTCATGTTTATGTCGAAAATTTTTGAAATTCTGCAGGGACATTTGTGTATTAGGGGATTTATACTGTTAAATTTTGGTGGTTAAAGGTCGAGGGGTAGTGAGATAGAAGGAGGGTTATGTGTCATATGTTAAATAGGGGGGACGTAATGACGATCTTGTTATTAGCATTTACAATTTTTTTTTAAAACTCATCCCTACTCGCAAAATTAAACTTTTCTCCATTTTATAACAATTAACTATAAAAAAGATTTTAAACAAAATATTATGTTAGAATATTTTATTAACAGATGGCGCTACATGCAGTTTTAAATGTTGCCGAGAAAGTTAAGCAATTCGTTGCTGGATATTTGTGAATACTTTCAAAAGCTGTATTCTTTATTTTAAATTTTAAAATTTCATTTTATTGAGAAAAATGTATGTATATTAACATAGCTCACAAACTTTGCACATTCAATTCTCTTCAAAGATAGAGGCCCTGTTCGGGGTCTAGTTGTTGTATGTCGTTGAATCATAGTCTACAATAAAAGATTGATCTGTGGTGTTTTTTAGATTTCTCTACTTGTCTTAACGAAGGAATTTTGTACAATACTTTGTGACTTTCTACAATATTAAAAGTAATAAATTGTGCTTTTCTTCCATTTATACAACTTATGAAATTTTCAGCTCACCCAACGGCCCTCACCAAACAATTGCCATTTATTATGTTCCCACTACCTGTTATCCGCGACTTCGCCGCGCGTATTTTGCAAGCAAACTCCATTTATATTCAATATTTCAACAATAATAGTAATTGTTTTATAACACCTACCGCTGAGAATGATGAGAATTGATGAGAATCAAACTGTTTTCAATTTGATCAATTTTCTGGAACGTTTACAATCGTTCTGTAATCGAACCAATTTGCAATAACAAATTCCAATTTAAAACTGTTCGAACACTTGATTAAAAAATCGAAATATACAAAAATATTTATAACAATGTCTGAAATGTTATCAATTTAATACACTTAAGTACTCAATGAAGACTAAACGTAGTTGAAAACAAAAAATCGCATCTAAAATAATATAATAGAAGCCGTTCTTCCGATTAAGCCTTAATTCTCTCCCTCTCCTCTGCGGGGGGGATTTCCAAAAATCCCTTTTCAGTGTGCGTTTTCATGATGTATCCTAACTGTGTACCAAATTTCACCTCTTTAGGTTCAGCGGTTTGCTCTGGGCGATGATGAATCAATCACTCAGTAAGTCAGGACAAGTAATTTTATGTATTTAGATTAGTAATGGTTGTTTAGAGATTTGAATTATTTTAAGAAGTATATGAAAATTTAACTTTTTAGATCAAAATTTGTTTTTTTTTTTAACTTCTTTAGAGGGGAGAAAATAAGAAAATGTAACAACTAACCTTTCTTAAAACAAACTTTCCTAAAAAGTTTTGAATGTAAAACCTTATGAACATGAATAGTTCTCACCTGTGCCAATGCATTTTCCACTTCAGAATTATTAGCTTTATTATTATTTATTACGGCAATGGCAGATTGAATTTCCTATCATTATAAAATATTATATACATATAATCATATTAATGTATATTTATAAATAAGATATAACAGCTGCATAATGAATACTTACGTCCAAATGCTCCAATTGCTCACAATCTTTTTCTAGAATTTTTAAACGTTTTTGCATATCATAAAATTCTACTTTATCCTGAAATTTTTAAATTCAATTGATTTAGAATCTATAACAATATATCTAATATATTGACATTCATAAATAGAATGTTCAAACCTCTTCATTAAATCCTGTTTCGTTGGCTTTTACCAACATCTGAGTAGTTTTTTCTTGCTTGTCAAAATCGAACTGTAGCACTTTAATTTCTTCTTTTAGTATACCAATTTCTTTAAAAATTTGTTTCACATTTAAACGCACATTCATTAATTGTTCTGTAATGTTGGCATCTTCCATTTCCTGGTCTAGCTCCTCTTCCTTTTGTAACCTATCAATCATAGGTTGTATCTTATCCACAAACTCATCAAACTGTAATAAAATTAATATTAAAATGGCTAAACAATTCCATTATCATTCGTTAAACGTAGCATTACCTTATTTCCAAGCGTCGATAAATCATAACTTCCTAAATAGTAAGAAAAATAAGTTAAATAAAATTAATCTTGAATGTAAACAATCAAATGCATACAATACGTACTTTCCACTTCATGTGATAAACCAGTATTTTCCTAATTTTTAATAAAAATTATCACGTTAATTAAGTAAATTTTAGAAACGTACATATAATGCATATTATATAAAACTTTTTATTAAAATATTGACATTAAATGCCTATAAACTAATTCTCTAGTTTAATCAATTTGAATGCTATAAAATAAATTACCTCAACAAATTTAAGACGTTCTTCTAATAAATCAGTTACTTCAAAAAGATCCCACACTTTCCTATTGCCATCAACCTAATCAGGCAAAAATAATATAAATTATTAAATAAAATTAAAAAATAATTTACGATATTTTGCCAAAATATTTTAAAATGAAATCAATTAATCAATTTATTTATAACAAGAAATGGCGGCTTGACAGTCTGCCTCTTATCATATTGTTTAGTAATTATCAAAAATTTAAGGAACATATTAAAAAATTATTTGATTTTTATTACAATATACTGATGTACAGTACTTACTATGTTACGTAACTTTTCTGTGACAAGACGTAAATTTTCTAATTTAGTCGACTGTTCATCTAATTTATTTTGGTGATCGTTTTTGATGGTTAAATATTCTTCCTTGAATACTACCATTTCTAATCGAGCTTCTGCCAAATTCTTCAATAAATATACGTAAATATAAGTAGATCATATAATAAGAAAATAAGAAATATACTGTATATAGATAGCTACAAATCATAATAAAATTTTTTATTATGATTTCGAATTTTTAAAACGAAACGAGCAATTGTTTATTGTGACATCGTCATAATTCCAGGCTGCAATTTTTAATCATTTTTTAATTTAAAATATATGCTTTCCACCTCAAATTAGTAGTGGCTTGTCCCTGTACATTATACTTTTCCGTTAGCTACAGAGACGTGCAGGTCATCTGTCTAACTCCTTTCAGGGGAAAATTTTGAATTGAAATAACATTACATTCGGTTGGCCGCGAAAATTTATATACAGTTAACCTGGACTTTCTTCCCAAAGGTTTTCATTTTTGGTCTCGTTGTACATTTATCTTACTCTGTATTCGATGTTCAGGAATGACGGACAGACGGACAGACGGTGGGAATTTGTAGGTTTACAATTTTTTTCAAATAGCAGCCCAACAATGATTTAATATTGATATTATTCTACAATACTTACAAGAGAGTTCATCAAACTTTCAAAATTCTCTTCGATTACCCGTACAATTTTATTCTACAAAATTATAACAAATATACGTTGAAATTCAGAAAATTTTATGTAATAAAATAATAATTTACACTTTACTTCTAGAATTTAATTAAATATTTATTTAATTATTTTTAACATAACTTACATCTTCGTTTTTCTTCCTTTCAAAATCTTTTCTTTGTTTGTCGATGCTTCGCGAGTAATTATTTAAAGCAGTTACTACCTAAAGAAATGAAGTTTTGGCTTTTTAGATTGTGTTTATCTTTTATAATGAATTCCAATTTATCGTAAATGAGAACATCCAAATAACATAGGTCTTATTAAAGAGGTTATGAAATAAAATTTATGCTAATTGAATAAATGATATTAAGATAATGTATATTTGATGAGCAAAACCAACGAATTATAACAATTATTTCGACAAATGATATAAAAAATATCTTACTTTATCCATGCCTTGTTCAATCGCATCAATTCTTTTAGAGAAATTCATTGTTTTCCACATATTTCCAACCATCCATCTATTTCCAGTACAATATGTATCAGAAGAAACAGTTTTCAAGTCAGATATAGATCTTTTCAATTTTTTATGCGTTTCAACTGAATAAGTCGAAATTTCTGTTATGCTGCTTGTCGATTTGCACTCAGACAATGTTTTTGATTCAGAAACGGTAATCATCTCTGAATCATTACTTCCCGCTTCTTCATTTAGAATTTCTTCTAATGATTGCATCGATAAGTTTATTGCAGAACCTTCTGAATCTTCCTTTCTTGTGTCCAGTTTAGAAGCTGATTTTAACGTAGAACTGGAAGTGTGAACTTCATTTTCATCACACACATCTTCGAGAAGTTCTATACCTTCTCCATTTTCTTCTTCATCACTTTTCGGCGACATTTCTGATGGCTGTTCTTCCAAAATTAATTGACTGGACGAGTGTTTTTTCATTTCTTCGATTGATTTAAATTGCTTCGATTCTTGGAAAGTTTGAGATTTCGAAGAAGTTTCAGAAGTAGTTTTAGAATTAACAGCACTTGTACTCTTTTCTGGTATTTTCTTTCTTTTCTTTGGAGCACTTTTCATCAAAGTTGCAGCTTCTTGGAGATCTTTAACTGGAACTCTAGCTCTTATATCCTAAATTACATAAATTATAGAAATAAAAAATGTCAATTTATTTGAATATATGAAATAAATCTCTAGTCCTGTACAAACTAAATACTTACATGAATATCCAATTCTCTTACAATAACTTTTAGTACTGTTCGAAGAATTTTGAAATTTACTGTTCCCATTTCGGGACAATCTAAAGCAACATCTATTAGTTGATTCAATGTAAACGTTTTTGTATCCATACTTAATTTTTTCACTAATCTAATTGAAAATTAATGCGAACGTATAATTTATTGATTAAATAATTGAAACAGTTGTTGCTTAAAGGAGTTAATAATGTAAAATCTGATATTATTATTATTACTATTATTGTACCAATATCAGAATCAATTATTTATTAATGAATTTTTGTAAATATTTTTAGATGTACTGTACAAAAATTACATTTTCAATTGTAGAATTGGAAAAACTATATTTGTTACATTTTTAATATTTTCTTTGATAATCTTTATTAAAATTGATCCTTTTTTTAATTTTTTAATGATAATGTTGTTACACTTTCTGGAAGGTCTAGAAAGTACTGGTATTTTACATTATTCTTACATTTCCTACTTGAGAAATATCTTCTAAACTTGAATTTGCTTTATCATTGATACTGATTGAATTGATATTAGCTACTATACTTATGATATACAGTATTAATTTTTTTTCTTAATGGAAATGGAAAATTTGAACATGTTTGTTCTAAATTAATTTGGTTTGAACGTTTTAACTGCTTTAAAAATACTATTGAGTTTCCTAAGATAAAGTACAGACTATTAGTCGTTATAATAAACTACAACGACATATATCCGCATTAAACTAGACTAGAAACTATCATCTGTCAAGTCATACTGGTCATAGATAAAGGATATTAAATTCAAATTTATAACTTAACTTTTTGTATAAAACAATACAAACAAAGTTGAATCGAAATTATGACCAATAACTAGGGTTCCCTCCAATGGGATCCCGGGATCCCGGCTGTTTTATAACCCGAGAAATATCCCGGGAAATTCTTCTCATTCCGAGAAATCTCGTAAATGTCTTAAAAAATCAATTTTTTCTTATTGTGTCTGTTAAAGTTGAGGAAATCTTGCAAATAGAAAGTATAATTAACTCATAAACTGTCAGAATACATTTGTATTTATTAATTTTAAGCTTGCTTATTAGTTTTTTTTTTTTAAATTTTTCTATTTGTGATAGGAGTCTAAAAATTCTTTACTTGTTAGAACATGTAATATCTGGAATAATTGTGCTTATGCTGTCTTAATTTTTAACCTTGCCCAGTAGATTCAATAACTAAATTACGCCAGGTTGTGCAAATTCGGCAAGGATACAAACGAGTACGAAGTATGCAAGTATGAAGTTTTTCTTCATAAACTTGATTATTAAAGCCAAACAAATTGCCAAATTATCGGGTTATAAGCTCGATGCCGCTATTAAAGCAGCCGAGGTTGAGAAATCAAAAATACTAGACGGCAAAAGAAATACTATAACGCATCTTGAAAACGAACTAAAATCGTCGAGGCTACAGGTGAAAAAACACATAACATCCGCCTTCTCTTAAATGCATTAAAGACGATTCCATCCACATCAATTGGATCGAAAAGAGCATTCTCGGTAGCAGGACGTTTCTTTAGTAAAATACAAATCAAATTAAGTAATCGGATTATTGACCATCATTGCTTTTTAAAATGTTATTATAAAAATTTACAATAATATTTTGTATTGTGTTTTATTTAAATGACGAAAATTAACTTTTCAGTTAGAAGTTTGATATAATTTCATTTTTTTTTTTTTAATTTTCAACTTAATTCAAAGATATTTTTCTGTAAGCAGTTTCTAACAAACTTTTTCCATTTGTGAAAATTTCTACGTAACTCAAAAGTAGTTTTTAATACATATTTTATACGATATTATGAATATTATTATTTTGGAGGTTGCAGGACGTATTAAGTTACTTAAAAATAAAAAATAATTACATCATTCGATTTTAAGATTTATTTTATATCTTAAAAATAATTAATTATATACCATAAAAAAATCTGTAGAAATTGTTTATGAAAGGAAAAAGTTAAATACAGTAGAATATTATGCTTTTCTATAAAAACTATTTGAAAGAGTATAAAGTATTATGTCAAAAGAAAAAAAAAACAGTCTTATCTTTGGAATTTAAATAGGAGGTTGGTGTCATGCAATAATTCTAAAATATTTTGGCAAATAATTAATAGTTTTAGACATAAAAGTGCATTAAGTTATAGTTCAAGAAATAACTCTCCTCATCATACCATGCATTTCTTATATGGCTTTTATAAGGAACATCGTGAATTAAGTCCAGGGCATTGCTGTTTTAACTATATAATTTATTAGATCACGGGATTCTCAATAAAAGTTTGGGGTTCCACAATAAAATCCGTTAAGTCTAGTTATGTATCATTCATACATAACTAGACTTAACGGATTTTATTGTGGAACCAACGCAGATTTGGGACGTGAGGTGTAATTGTTCTAGTCTCGGATCACCATACGAAAACTCGATCAGAGACTATACACGTGCTAAAGTTATTTACAGCTATCAATATATAAACAGTGGGAACTGATTTATCAGCAACGGCAAGAATCGAAATCGTGATATAATATTTGACATGGTAATGGAAACCATAAAAATAGTAAAACATAAAGAGTTTCTACCAGACGGAACACGTCCATTTTGTATATGAGATTTCATAAATTAGGAAAGCAATATTTATTATTTAAACCTGATATACAATAAAATAGAAGTTTTATATTATCATTATCATCCAAATACAGAACTTTATATTCGTCATGCTCTTTATCATTGTAAAATATATTACTGAAAAAGATTGTTCTCTATCTGGATAATTTCAACTTTAAGTTATCGTTACAAAGTTTCTGAATCTTAAATAAGGTATCACCATTTTTATCGTTATCCTCTATACCTGAAAAGTTATCTTTACTCACCTTAGTTAAATTAATGTGAAAAAAACGGAAGACGCTAAATAACAGATGAAATCACTTTTTGACATATATATTACAAATAATGGATGACATGCGATAGAAAGAGGCGTCTTACCGATTTCATTTAGGTTAACAAAGAAAGTGACGTGATCATACGGTTATCTATAGATCATGGTTTAAAGTATGTTTAGTTTGTTTGGTTACGGCAATGCGACACGTGGATAATCTGCCGCGGAAGATGCCTCTCGAGAGATCTTTTTTGGAAAATTGGCCCTTATTTAGGTGTTACAAACGTGAAGAAAATCCGAAAAACTCCACGTGATGGCGAGGCGCAAACACACAACCAACTACCAGTGTTCGTTCGATAGTTTTATCCCCTCAGCCACCATTGGGACCTTAAAGTATCTTAAAATAATAAATTTTATTTTTCTTACGTTCCTTAGAATTGAATTTTTACTTAATCTCTCCCGTAAACATTTATTGTACTGTTCGTCATGTCTATACAAATAATAACATATTTTCGTATATCGTACGACTTTCCTCACTGGCATAGTCCCCAAAAATTATTGTCAATATTCATCTCAAACATTCAACTATCTCAGACTAACAGTAACTTAAATCATTCCCATTTTATAATGATGTCACCGACCAGTGTCATGGCCTGTCTATATATGGGCGGAAAGTAAGTAGACAAAAAAGAATTGCTACAATTTTGTAATAATAATAAACGCATTATAAAATTTTGTGTGCATGTACTGTAGGTCAATCAACAGAATTTTGTAGTCCCTGAATTGTTAGTGACGCAGTGACCGAGAGTGACAAAAAAAGATAACCGACCACTTATCTGTTTAGGAAAGAGAGCATAATTCTGGGCGCTATTAAATGTGGAAATCAATGGTTGCCGTGCAGAGATGGTGGCATCCGGGGAAGAGACGTCATGCCACAATCCGTCCGGAAAAAATCGAAAAATTGTTATTCGAAGCTAATGACCACAGGTTCCTTCCTCTTCTTCCTCTTACTGTTTCATATGCAGATTCGGTTGCGGACGCGCAGAGAAGTGGATATTCTTCCACATCGTGGATCTGAGAAAAACAAGTTGGTGAATGGCAGCGATGACTACATTGAATTTTAAGCTAATTATCCATATTTTCGTTTAATAAGGTACATGTTAAATAATTTTCATCATTTTTTTCCTTAGAACTATTGGAATTATAGCAATTTCTCAATGTCTAGTTACTTTTCACACTGCCAGTACATGGCCACGTATAAACTCATGCCTTAGAAGTTGCCAGACTACAACTGGCTAATAGGAAGCAAAGATACAAATAACAAAAATGACAGCTAACAGTGCGAATACTTCATTTTTTAAAATTAACATAGGCTATGTGGAAAGTATAGGTGCGCACACGAGTTGCTTGAATTTCATGAATTTACTTTCTCTGCTGTTTGGAAAAGTATGGCGATCGATCAAAAGATGACACCCAAAAATTATATTTTTGTCTTGGAGACTTTGAAACGTCGAGAAATGGGAAAAGTTTTAGTTATTTTCTGTATGTACGAAAGTGTATGTTTATAGGAGCACGATTTTGTTCACCCTCTTTGAAGCTTAATAATCCGTGATTTTTGTCGAAAATTTCTGAAATTTTGCAGGGAAATTTTGGTATTAAGTGATTCGTGCTATTAAATTTTAGTGGTTAAACGTCGACGGGGTGGAGATATTTAGAGAGTCTATATTTCATGTAGGGTCGGATTTAATAACGATTTGATAGTTATTAGCATTTACAATTTTTTTTCTTTTTTTTTAAATTCATCCCTACCCTCAAAATTAATTTTTTGTCATTTTCTAAATAATTAATTAAATAAGAAGTTTTTTTAATAAAATATCACATTATAAATATTCTTGCCGGGAAAGTTAATAAACTCGTTGCTGGATTTTTCTTAAAATGATAACACAATCATTTGTTTACAGGTCGTGTGAAACATGCTGATCTAAGAGAAGATAATAGCTGTTGTTTGCGTATGTTTCAGTGGATTAACATATACGGAAATATAGAAAAGTTTATTCATAAATTCAGAAAGTCTGCTTCTACCAAGTCCTATATCAGACTGCTGGTTACCAAATTCAGGCAAACTGGTAATGTACACGGTGCACAAGGTTCCGGGAGATCTACCATAACAAAGAAACCATTCAATGCGTAGAAATTGCAATAACACAGAATTTACGTCATCAATCACAAGACTTTGTCTAGTGCTCACTCTGCCAAAACCAATAGTGTGGGAGATCCTTCATTACAAACTCATATAACGTGCATAGCGTATCCAAGTATTACATAAGCTGGAGGAAGAGAAATAGGACTATGCCACCTGCCAAGAAATGTTTAATAATCTCATAATGGCTATAGAACAGGAAGGTTTTATGCTGTTTCTGTGTATATTAATCCACTCGAATATTTGCAAACAACAACACTTTTGTTTTCTTGGATCAAGATGCTTTATACAACTTGCAAACAAATAATTTTCTTACCATTTTCTGAAAATGGATCGAGACTTTGTAATCAACTCATACTTAATGCTTATAATATAAATAATTTATATTTTAATTATTTTATAATAAATGATGCCAATTTTTCATCTATTTGTATGATCTGTTAATGAAATTGAAATAACAAAGCAAAAATTAAAGACAAATTGTTTACTCAAACATTTGTAATAAATGCAAAGTACTCACTTAACATTTTTTATGATTTTTTTATAACACAACACATTGTAGACACAATGGCCAATTACTATAATATTGGGAACATAATGATCAGAACATAGTTTTGAGGTATTTTCTCACATAAAAATAAGGCACGGTTCTTCTACATATTAAGGGTTACAATATACTCAAAACTAGATAATGATCTCCAAAATAGGCGAAAAAACAAAAGATGCGAGATAAATTATATAATCAGATGAACAATATGATTTTTACATGAAATTCAATTATAGGAATATACCAAAGGGAAGTTTTAGTTTAACTTGAATGTCTTAGTAATAAGTAACATCTGCAAGAGCTGTCAGGCACCAAATACTTCCTTGACTTGGAATTGAAATATAAGAATAATAACCTGAACAAATGGTTTCACTAAAAGTTTTCTTCTGACATTAAAAAATATCGAGTATAAAAAAGTTTCGCCGGTCCTTTTTTTTTTTTGTTTTCCAAATTACTATTAAATATCATTCAAGTTAAAATTTTCTTCACCACACTTAATTCGTTTCGTTACAAAAGTCTTATTGCACAATTCCAGCCTTAATTTAAAAACAATATAAAAACNTCATACTTAATGCTTATAATATAAATAATTTATATTTTTGGTTGTTGTTTTTATTTAAATTTGCGTGAAAAATAAATTAAACAAAAACAAATTTGTTTTCCAAATTACTATTAAATATCATTCAAGTTAAAATTTTCTTCACCACACTTAATTCGTTTCGTTACAAAAGTCTTATTGCACAATTCCAGCCTTAATTTAAAAACAATATAAAAACGGAAATATATAAAAGAAATTGGAAGTTTTTGTAACCAGTACATTCTTCAAACTTCATTCGAAAAGTTTTAGCCTAATATCAAACATCATGCAGTTCTTGGACGTTTATTGCAAGTTTCTTGTATATAGATTATTATAATCATCTGCAGAATATTTTTTTTAATCAACAGTTGTAGAAACCAGCACTACACTGTTGAAATCTTTGACGGTTTATAATTGATGAGCATTTTCATTTCAAACCATGTGACTTCCAACTTTTCCCATTACACAACTGACTTGTTTTCCAGAATTAGCAGTTTTTGAGTTTATTGAATCTTGTATGGAAACACGTCCACGAGATTTGGCAATTGTTCCTGGTAATGGAATTGGACATTTCACATAACGCATTTCAGGAGATACTTGAGCCATTTGGTTATTGCAGTATTCCTAATAAAAGTAAATATTTATAAAGAAAAATATTAAAATGTTTTCATTTTTATTATTAAAGAAATTATTGCTAAAAATCTAATACATAACGTAATCAACTACTTTTTCTTACTTAATTATTATATCAACTATATAATTTCCCTGTAAATTATGAGTTAACGTTTCATTAAAAATTAATGAAAAAAGAAATCAGAGTAGAGTTTTTATTTGTTTTTATTTGTTATTTTAGTAATGTAAGAAATAATACTGAACAAGAATCTAAAAACAATTCTTAAAAAGTTATCGAAAGAATTTTTTCAAACCTCCTTTATTAAAAACTGTAATTTTAAAAATAAATTAATAAATTATATAAATAAATCTGTTAATTATTAAAACAAATAAGTAAAATGTTTATCTGTATTGTTTAAATATTTTAAGTAAAACATCATTAATAAGAGATCTTTACTGAAATAAATCTGTCTTGAATAAATTTGTTCGTTAACCGAATACAGTGGGTATTCGGTTAACGAACAAATCGGGTAACGAACACTTTTGCGAAAGATTTTTATGTTCGGACAACGAACACTTCACAGAACAAACAAAAAAAAGCGACGTAAAATAATAAATACCGATTGATCTCCCCTTCTCTTCAGGCAACAATTCGAAACTTTTCGGAGCGCGGGAGACGTCGACGTTGACGCTCAACCCGGTATATATTAATCGGATAGTATTCACCCGAACTTTGAAGCTCTCCCTTGTGATTCCAGCCTTTTATTTTTCTCACAAAATCAATTCTTTTATATAGTATTTGCGAGACTGTCGGGCGGGCACTCGTTAAGTTTTGGGTCGGTTTTTATTTTCGAAAGGTGAGAATATAGTATCAAAGGTAGAGAGTGGGCAAAAAATGCCTAATGTTTCTGGGCAGTATGGCTTGAACAGGTCTACAATAGGCCGTAGTTAAATCTTATCTAAGAAAGATACTGTATAATCAAAAAGACTCAAGCAGCTTAAGGAGTAACAAAAATCACATCCGAGAAATAAAGAACATTTAAGCTCAGTGGAACCTGAAACTGATCTGACGACAGAAGAACGCCAAGAAGTCTTGAATGAAGAACACCAAGAAACTCGGCGAGATATGTTTTCTTCTGAAAAAGACGATTACTGCCGATATCTGCTATTAAAGATCTTTTGAAGAAGTGGAAGGATGTCAGAACAACGGTCTTAGAATGGCATCCAAACCAAGTTGAGGTTAATGGGCTTAGGGATCTCTATAATTACAATGCTATTAGTTACTTCTGAAAAATCCTGAAGAGAGAAAAGCATTCGACATTAGACAGATTTTTAACCCTCACAAACGGAAAAACAACACGACTAATAAAAATGCAAGACTGTGTATGTATGTATTTTTATTATTACATATAAATAAACGTAGTAAGAAAGTACAGTAGAGCCTCGATTATCCGACTCAATTGGGAACTGGGGTTGGTCGGATAATTGAAAAGTCGGATAACCGAAAAGTATGAAAAAATCCATTATTAGTGTAGTATATTATTATATCCCATGTAATTAGTATATTAGTATATCGCTATTAACCTATTTTGCGTTGAATTTTCATCGATGTTAAGCCTAACAAAAATTTTTTAAAATAATAATCGTCGCTATTGTATCGTTAAAAATTAGAAAATTAAGCCTCGTTTAAATACTGGCTCCCTTTCATGGTCGGATGAGTGTTGCCAGCTAAAACAGGTAAAAATAATATTAAAGTAGCCAAGACATAGCCAAATATTGTAGCGTCACATCACTAGCGGACATTTGAAATTTGCCGATTAGGACGGTCGCTTAACCGAGGTGTCGGTTAATCGGGGGTCGGATAATCGAGGCTCTACTGTATATATTTTTTATTTTTTGGAGTTTTCAGAACGGATTAATCAAATTCTCATACATACCTATGGTAAATCGATAATCGGATAGCGAACAAAGTCTTGGAACGGATTATGTTCGTTAACTGATCACCTACTGTATTTATTTTATGAGAGATCTGACCTCAGTATGTGTTACCTCAATTAAGGTAAATATTTTCAACAAATTCATTTAATTATCTTCATAAAAATTAATGATTTTATTTTACAATATTAGTAATTAGAACTACTTAAAGCTTTTTTGTTTTGTTTTGATTAATGTAATATTATACATATATATTCATTAGAAATCTAATGAAGTACAATCAAATATTAAAACTTGAATTCTTAAGTACTATATAGATAATAATTAAAATAGTTTAGTAAATTGATTATAATTTTCGAATAGAATATAAGATTTAAAAAAAAAGAACGTAATATTATAGAAAATCCTCGTTAGTTCGAAATTCAAGGAAAATCGCGACTTTGAATTATTGAATTTCGAATTATCCGAGATTTACATGTTTTTGTACAGTATTCCAAATGCTATGTATGTAACTGATGTAATTTATTAAGCAAATGGAATACGGCTACCTATACAAAACGCTATTTTCGTTAGTTTATAATAAATAATATTAATATAAATAAACCGCAAGCAAATAACAGGTTGCCAAATAGGTTTTATAAAAAGTAAAGGAGAACTTTTCTAAATGTAGCCCAAATTATTTTTAATAGTGGCTCAAAAGTAGTAAATCGCCCAAATGTAGTAGCCTAGAGCCCTAATGTGCTATTCGTAGCCCAATCTTGCAATCCCGAAACCCAGCCGTATTTTATGAAATAAGAGGAAAAACAGAGTAGTCCATGTGTAAGATGATAACCGAAAATGTGTTACTGTAAAAGCAAAGCCATATTGAACAAATTAAAGTTTTTGAAATTAGAAAATATAAGAATAATATAAAATTAAGTAATAATTTGTTCGTTAACCGAATACAGTAGGTATTCGGTTAACGAACAAATCGGGTAACGAACACTTTTGCGAAAGATTTTTATGTTCGGACAACGAACACTTCACAGAACAAACAAAAAAAAGCGACGTAAAATAATAAATACCGATTGATCTCCCCTTCTCTTCAGGCAACAATTCGAAACTTTTCGGAGCGCGGGAGACGTCGACGTTGACGCTCAACCCGGTATATATTAATCGGATAGTATTCACCCGAACTTTGAAGCTCTCCCTTGTGATTCCAGCCTTTTATTTTTCTCACAAAATCAATTCTTTTATATAGTATTTGCGAGACTGTCGGGCGGGCACTCGTTAAGTTTTGGGTCGGTTTTTATTTTCGAAAGGTGAGAATATAGTATCAAAGGTAGAGAGTGGGCAAAAAATGCCTAATGTTTCTGGGCAGTATGGCTTGAACAGGTCTACAATAGGCCGTAGTTAAATCTTATCTAAGAAAGATACTGTATAATCAAAAAGACTCAAGCAGCTTAAGGAGTAACATAAATCACATCCGAGAAATAAAGAACATTTAAGCTCAGTGGAACCTGAAACTGATCTGACGACAGAAGAACGCCAAGAAGTCTTGAATGAAGAACACCAAGAAACTCGGCGAGATATGTTTTCTTCTGAAAAAGACGATTACTGCCGATATCTGCTATTAAAGATCTTTTGAAGAAGTGGAAGGATGTCAGAACAACGGTCTTAGAATGGCATCCAAACCAAGTTGAGGTTAATGGGCTTAGGGATCTCTATAATTACAATGCTATTAGTTACTTCTGAAAAATCCTGAAGAAGAGAGAAAAGNTAAAGTTTTTGAAATTAGAAAATATAAGAATAATATAAATTTAAGTAATAGTGTTTTAGTTAATACAAATTGGGGTGACGTAATAGTTTTAATTGGCTAATTACAATAGTAAAATGTAGGAAAAGAAGCACTTTGTTGTTGTCAGTTTATGGTAAAGAATGATCTGGCATATTTTAAGATGTTTAAAGAATTCTTTAAACAAGATCAATGTTTACTTATCTTTACTTACTCAACTACAAAAAACTTTTATAGACTTATATAAAAAATGTTATTAAATATGTTATGTAAATGTATGTAGAAGTTTGTATGTTTGTTTTATTTTATGTAGTGGTTAGTTTGATGTATTATATCATTGTAGCATTTACGGAAGAGGAGCTAAAGCCCGAAATGCATACACGTGAAGAATGACAATAAAATATATTGGATGAAATTCTCGCCTGATTAGTCCTTGTCATACAAAAATAATGTGTCTATTTACATCAGGAATTGAGAAATACGTTATTTAGTTTTCTAAATTTACGAAGTATTTCTGCATTAATTAATCAAGAAAATTTAAATTTATTAACTTTTACGTTAGGACAAAGTTTCACGACAAAGTTTAAATAAAACTAAAGTGTAGTTTCTAATGATTATCAGCTTAGTAACTTAGACTCAATCTATAATAAATATATGCCTATTTTCCTGTCAATACTTGAATTGTATTCGTAGATAAATATAATTGTATGTAATCCTTTGATTAAAATAATAAATGTTTAAAATATATATAAAAGAAATTAACACAACTGTATCTTTGAAATACACGTCTATAAACTCAAACATTAATAAATTCATTTATCTTTATTTCATCTTTTTATTCTAGATTATTATTGCATATGCGTTAATTAAATATTAAATTTCACAACTAAGTAAAGAAACTTAATAAAACACAAAAGCATTTAGCATAAAAATATATTTAAAAATTTTTAAAACAAAGGAAGGCTTATACCAGATGTTGTGCGGATAACTCTTTATGATTTCGGATCCATTATTATTTTATACAGCTGCATGACTTTCTTCTCTTAATCAAAGTTATTTTCTATATTTTATAAACTTTCCAGCTTATAACTTACTTTTTTTTTAAATTGAAATAAATGTTTTCAATGAAGACAAGGATCTTCCCCTTGTTTCCTATTATAACTAATAATTTTAACAACTAATTAGTGGACATACATATTTTGTAACCTTAAACTGTTATGGGCACTTTCGCTAGTTGCGAAGGGGTCTCCTAACAGCAGAGATATAGTCCAAAAACAAAAAAGAAGAAAATTCTGAGGAATAAAAAAACGTAAATTACACCTACCAACATCAATGCGCAAAAATAGTATTGGTTCATTCGCTACTATAGAGAATGAACCAATACCTTTTTTACTTCTACATCTCTACTGTAGAAGTAGAAGGTCATCAGATGGGATTGTTAGGATAAAGGGGTGAAAATCTTATTAATAATGGTGTTAAAAGGCACAAGCGAAATGAGTACAGTCTGAATTGAGAATTCGGATATCTTTTTATGGTCGGTTCTAGCCTAAGGACAAAATATAGAAATACTAAGTCGTGCATCAACGAAGTAATCGAAGAGCCAGCCGCCAAAATGTAGGTTATGAATACTTATGGTAAGCGCAGCGAGCCCATATAGTTGTGGGTATAGTTACGTGTTATAGAACAGAAGAAAATTTTGAAATCTGACCAATTACAAGGACATTTGGAGACGATATGATATGGTATTAGAGCGTATTCTAAAGTCATTATTAAATAGCCCACTTCAACACATTAGCTTATGATTTTATCACTAAAATAGCTTTATTTTAATAACAAGCACTTAAGCTTCATGCATTTGTCTGAAAAATTCATTCATTAAAAAAGTTCGATCAGAGCCCTCCAAAATTAGGGACTCTGAAATCTTAAGCTTCATTAGTTTCATAATACATCCGGCCAATGACTGCATATAATAATTTCTAAGAATTTAAATTTGACTTTAAATTATTATATTATCATGAATATGGATGGGATAGACTTTAAGCATTGAAGAGAGAATATTATTAACAAACAAGAAAATTTGAATTACAGCAGAACTTTATTTTTTCTATTATCAAAGAAGAAATAAAATAAAGCAAATCATTTTTATTTGCTTTATTTGTAAATTGTTATTAAATTTAGTAATAAAAGGGTTGTAGTATAACCATATTGAAAGAAACTTTAGATTAAAATCATATATTTACACACATTATTAATTTATTTCTAAAAGCAACTCTATGTTATATAAAACTTTCACTTCTGTTTATGATTGTAAGCTTTATAATAAAGCTAAAAATCTTTATTAAAAAGCTTTATTATATATATTTACTGTTATAATTCAATTATTTTACTTACTTTAGAATCTTCAATCCTATTTCTTAAAATATCTGGACAATTTTCCTCTTCTCTACAATATTTCTTTTCATTGTCTGTTTAAACAGTTTTAAAAATTAATATTGAAGCCTTTTTTAGATTTAGAATAATAAATAATTGTTCTTTTTTATAAGATATTCGCATATATTTCAATACCATTTTTTGTCCTAAATAATATTCTGTTATATACTTTATGGAATAAGTAGGTTATTATTTTCAATTATATATAAATTTTTATTGTTTGTTAATTTTAAAATATTAAAGCAATAATTAAAAAGATTATAATTATTTAAAATAATGTAAAAATTTATGTAAATATATAATACGTTTATAGTTTATTATAAATTATTAACAAGTATAAGGCCTACAATTGTATTTTGTCATAGTATTCTTAAGTGTTCATAGTAGTAATTATGCTTGAGTATAAATGATTGATGTAACTTGCACTGTACAGTGCGATATTATAGTGTTCATATAAAAGAAAATATAAAGTCTGTTCATTTAAATCACACGATTTACATAAAGAAACTTTCTAAAACTTCATTTAAAGATGATCAGTATTAATCACCCAAATATTAACAAAATTTGCTGTTTAATATAAATAATTAAATACATTTATACTTATCAAAGAACAATTTGTACAAACTTACCGTGTTTTTCGTTCCAATCCAATTCATTAACCGTTATTAATTTATGATTAGAATTGACCGTTCCATCGCTATCTTCCTGTAATTAATAAAAATTAATATGAATTTTAATTAATAAATATTTAAAAAATCCTATACTTTTTGCTTGTAATGAATTAATACATTTTAAATGCTTAGAATAAATATTACTAATTGATAAACAGTTTTGTGAATTATTTTCAATACGTGAGAAAACTCCTGTTGAATAGATCTGATAATATTTATTTTAAAATATCAATTAAGAAAAAAACCGATAATTGCATCATTTATTTTGAATTGTCTTCTCTACTGATAATTGATTTTGAATTTAGTTCAATAAAGATAAACCATTTCTTACACAATAAGAGGAAGATAACACCTGCTTTATCTTCACTACAAAGTCAGAAAGCCCTCCCAAATTATCAGAATGATATATTTTAATGCGCACTACAAAAAATTCAACGATAACTCATCCTCAAATGGATCTTACATGTAATATCCAAAATATATTTGTTCCAAGTAAATTTTATCCGCAACAGTCATTTATTTATATTTTAGTGTGCTTCGGCTTAAGTGACAGAACAAATTATGTTACGTTACTATAAGACCTTGGAGTAATATTTAATCCTTTTATTACCACGATTTCTTTCATCATTAGTTCTTCTGGACAGTTATCTTCCATCTCATCCAGTGGGCATAACGCTTCCCCGTTGATTGTTTGCTGATACTTGCTAGGTGTGTACATAAGTGAATCGGATGGAGTCAGCGTTGTTTCACTTTTTTCACTTTCATTCGCTGCACCTAAAACATATTTTACTTATTTTAGCAATTACATTATGAACATTACAAATTTGATTGATTTATTATATATAGGGTGAGCCAAAAGTCGGTTAACAGGATCCAATACGATGAATGAGGCTTGAATATCATCTGGTCTAAACCGATTTTATGTTGCAATAGTTTCTAAATATAATGTTAAAAAATACATTTGGGTTAACTGATTTTTGGCCTATTGTGTATATTTGTTTTGCATGCATTTATTTATATTTAAAAAGAATCGAACTGATTAAAAATTTAACTATAAATTAATTATTTTGTTCTATAATAATAAATTTTTCTATACGAAAGAAGTAAATTAGGAATATAATACAATGAATGGTGTAATAAATTTTATTATGAATATATTGATATGTCCTATACTCTCTGGAACTTTATAACATACATAAGATTATTTTTAATACACAATTCTTTCTATTAAGAATTTCCTATTTCTAATTATGAGAATTAAGAATATATATGAAAAATAATTTTAAAATAAATTTTCCCTTTATAAAATTAAGTTTTAATATATATTCAAGTTACTAGATGGCAGTAAAGATTAGTAAAACTATCGATCTAATGTCACAAGGTCTATGACCCGATCTAAGTGCAGAATGCTGACAGAAGTAAACCTCTCATCGATCGTAATCTTCGAAACATCAATCCAGACAGCTAAAGTAATGTACATCACTAATATACTAACCAATCAAAGAGTAAAAAGTCATGATAGAAATGAGTGTACCTGAAAATCTGTAGTAAAAATAGTAAAACAAGACAAATATTCATATTTACTAGCTCTCTGTTGTCTTCTTTTCCTTCTCTGAATAAAACAAATAACGAGAATCACGTTTAGAACGAGTAGAACTGATCCAACTAGAGACACTATAACGAGTAATAAACGAGGCACTTCGCCTTCTTCTCCACTGAAAGCATCTAGAGATGCACTAGCTGAATCTCTGAAATTATGTCCTTCCGCTATAATAATAAAATCATAATTATTAAATAATGCATACACCTTGAATAAAAATTACGATTTATTATACACTAGCAACTTACTTAAAGTAAAAGTAATTGTTTCTTTCTCTTGAATTTCACTTTCACCTAAGGCATTTCGAGCTACCACTGCAAACACATATTCTGTACCGGGTTCTAAGTTTTTAATTCCGTAAACCGTCGAATTAGAAGGAACAACGTTCGTAACAATAAATTCTTTAGAACCACTTTTCTTATATTTTATTCGAAAATGTTGTGGCAAACCACTACTGAAACCAGGAATCCAACTAAGAATGACGCTATCGTGTGTAATATTTACAACACGTAACGATTCGGGAGGATCGGGTCTACCTGCACTTTCAAGAAAACATTGTAAATATAAAACAAAAAATTAAATTTATTTATAATTTTTATATATTAAAAACTAACCTCTCTTGCGTAATTTTAATTTCATATGGTCGTGTCCTAATTCATTTCGAGCAACGCACGCGTATTGTCCAAAATCATTTATTTTCAAGTTTCTTACAAATAGCACGCTCTCCCATTTGATTTCAGTTAATTGCGTTGATTGAGAAGCATATTTATCACTGCTAAAATTATCTCCAATTATACCTCCATTATAGGACCATACAAAACTAATGTCGGGAGCACCGTCAGCTAAACACACCAATCTAGCCGTTTCTCCAATATCTCCGGCAACATTCAAAAGATTTTTTGGAAGATGAATCTTCGGCTTAACTAAATAAAATAATATTTATAAAAGAAAAGAATCTTAACATATGTTTTAAGAACATTTTTATCAATGTATAACATATCTAAATCTTGTTTACTGTGAGGATAAATCTCACTCACAACTCACACTTGACAATCAGCTGCGCTCGTCCAATTGATTCATCTCCTACACCATTGTAAGCCACACATTCAAATGTTCCAATATCTTCTTTACTGACATTCAAAACTGTCAAATATGATCTACCTCTTTCAGCTACCTCCTGTGTTCTGCTCATATCAAAGCCTTTTCTTCTCCACTTTATGACATCGTTACTTAAAGGATTCGCTGTTGCCACACATTCAAAGTAAGCATTGTCACCAGCATCGGCGATGGCAGTCTTTGTCACTTTTATGACACTAGCTTGATCTGTAAATAACGTTCATTTAAATTATTTATTTATTTAATAATATCTACAATAAGAGAATATATTAAACTTCTATACAATGTAATATTAAATTTACAAAACGTTACTTATTTAATAGTATATTTATTAAATTCTTGATTATTATACTGTATATAAATTAAAATAATAATGTCGATATTGTAAATGTTATTAAAACTAGAATTTCAAATATAAAATATATTGCTGTATATTAGAATTTAAATTTGGTATTTTCTTATTAAAATTAATTTGAAATATATCCATGTAGAATAAACAGTTTTCACATTATTTAAATATTTAAAATAATTTTGAATTATTATTATTATTATTATTATTATTATAAGACATTGTATAATTACAAAACAAGTAGACTATAAAGTAAAAAATTATATATTTTTTAAAACTCTTTCCGCCCTTTAGGCATTTAGAGGAGCCTTTTCCATCCCCATTTTGGGTTTGTCCAGGCCTACAGTAGGGACAAGTGGTAAGGACAGAGTTCGACATATTCGGGACTGACGCCAATGAAAACTTTCCTGAAGATTAAATCTCCAATTCGATCCCATATCCCAAGAGCAATAGGCTGGCGCCATATTTTAACAAAATAATTTGTCTAAAATACTTTATAAAGTTTAAAAATACATTTAATTCTAATTTTTAAAAATATTAAATAATTGTTTTTATATATTCTGTATTTATTTTAGAAGAAAAGATGTAGACTCTAAATTCTAGAGAGAGACAATAAGGTGTGATTTCCCCTCTGAGAATGATTATTAATAAAATAAGCATAAGCATTTGTTTAAATAAAAAAATATTAAAAATTGGAAATGATTAAAATATTAGTACTTGATAGCAATTTTATTCTTGGTTCCAAAGAACATACAATGATTAAGATATGTTTACTGTATACTTTGTAGTATGTTGTAAGTTTGTGGAGTTTTTAATTTACTATTAAATCATTAAAACCTTATTTTAGTATATGAATTAAAAATCGCTTCCACTAAGATTTTCTTCTAAATTCTGCTTAAAATTGAACTTACATAGAACGTTTAACATAATAGAAGTTTTCCCAATTCCTTCAGAGTTAGAAGCTTCGCAATCATATTCGCCAGCATCTTCCCTTGTAGCGTGTTCAATTTCTAATAATGCACCCCTAAACACAATTCTATGCCCTGTATATCCGCTGAGACCACTTGCGTAATTTTCGCTAACATCCAACAAAGGTACACCATCTTTGGTCCAGGAATAAGTGATAATTGGAGGATTTCCTCTTGCTGTTATGTTGATTACAGTAGATTCACCTTCAACTACATCATATTTCTCTAATGGAGGATTTAAAAATTCCGGTTTATCTACAAAAAACATATAAAAATATTTTTACTTTATTTAAATAAACAACAAATTATATTTTAATCGATTCAATTATATTGAATAATAAATTTAGAATATTTAAAATAAATAAATTGTTATCGTAATGTTTATTTATAGTTTTTCGGTAAATAAATAGGAAAAGTAAAGAAGAAACGAATATTAAATAATAAATATTAGTTAAAATTTTGTTCTTATGATATATACACAAATGTTTTTAGTGTTTACTTAAATTTAATTGATTTTTAAATTTGTCTCCTACTAGATGGCAGCATACACTACATTTGGATTACATGATTTAAAAATTGATATAAAATGGATAAATAAATAAATAAATAAATAACAAAACAAAATTAAAAGATTACAATATAAAGAACAAAAATAAATATATAAATTTATATTTACACATCACTCTAAGAATGTTGGTGTCATGAACACTTTTCTGAACAGCAGAATTTGTAGCCTGACAAGTAACAACAGAACCATCATCAACTGAAGTAACGTTAAATTTTATTCTGCTTCTTGTAGATTTTCCACCATAAATTGAATCTACTGCTCCATCGTGCTGCCCAACTATGGGATCGCCATCTTTCCACCACTGTATTATTGCTTCCGGATTACTTGATCCAGACTCGCAGATCATTGTCACCTAAGATTATTTTTAAAATTATAATTAAATATAAAATAATTAGTTTAATAAATAAAGTTTTAAATTATTTAAGCGCATTTATCAAAATGTATCTTAGCGACCTCTAATGTTTAAATCTCACTAAAATTCTATCTAGTGTTAAATAGGAAAAGGAAAAAATATTTAATTGAAATAAATTTACTGGCTTTAAGCAGAAAACTTGAAGAAAACTAATTAATTTACTGTTGAAACTATGCAATCTTAATGATGCTACTTCTAATTAAATGAGGAATACAGTGTCATCGATTACCATTAAAATACTTTTTACCTCTTCTTTCATTCTCTTATTTGAATAAATTATTATAAATTTAATACTNACAATTTATTTTGTATTATTTATTTCTGTGTTTGTTATATATACGGAGCCTTGAGAGACTCTGTGGTGATTTCTTGTAACCGTCAACGAATCAAAAGATGAGATAAGATTAACGAGAACATTTATTAGCTTACATACATCCGACTTGGATTTTACACAAATTGCGAAATTATACCCCGACTTACGCAAATTCGACTTACGCGGTTATCACTCAGTCCCACCTATCGTGTAAGTTCAGGGTATTACTGTATCTGTTTGCTAATTTTCATTTTGTTCTCTAAAATTTATATTGTCATATAAATTAAAGTTTTAGTGAAATTGTTTTTAAAAATGGCTATTTTGAGATTTAAAAAAAGCTGCAATGAGTCTTGCTCAACTTTACTGGCACCTGAATAAGAAGTTAAGAGGATCAGGGAGGAAGTCCAATGACTTTGAATTATACTATAAAATTTAAATAATAAAGTGATATTTTACATAAGACTTCTGTTGTAATAGATGCAGATAATGGACGAATTGTTGCTGGATTTGACGCTTCGCACCGATAGATGGCGCCATTGTCGCTAGATTCGGCTCTAATCACCAATTCGCTACTGATCCCACTTCCGGTGTTTGTAGATATTGCCCTAATCTATATTAATCCCATATAATTTTAAACTTAGTTTTTGAAACGTAATAGGCGTGTATTATGAAATCCTTAATGATGAGTCTTACCTCTTTATCACCTTTGAACCATCGTACAGTTGCGAATGGATTACCTCCTAATACTAAGCAATTAAGTCGATATAAATCTCCTGATTTTAAAGGTTTATTTTCATCGTCTTTGATAATTGTCGGTGGATTAGGCGGATCTAAAAACAAATAATCAAGATAAATTTTAATAGCCGAATCCAATATAATTCCGGTTTCTGATATAGGCCTATATTATTAATAAATTTCAATGTAAAATAGTAATAATAATACTCACAAACAATCGTTAATGATGCTGTTTGAACTACTGTGTCACCCAAAGCTTCACTTACTGCGTAGCAAGAAAAGGTTTTTGTATCGGGATCCTTCATGCAATCGATAAATAAATTAATATTGAGATCTTGCTAAAAAATATTAATTATTTTGTTTATTATTGCAGCAAGTACGCATTGCTTTGAATTTACCTGCCTGGTAAGAGTGACGTTTATAACTGATGTTGTAGTCCATCCTCCATTTTCATCAGTTGTTACCGAATGAGCAGACATTAATGGTCTTCCATCAACAATCCATGAAATGTCCACTGGTGGATTGCTTGATCCAGTAGTGCACGTCAAACTTACAGAATCTCCAACTTTACCTTCTTTTGGACCGTTAATCGTTACTCTAGAGGGAGAAACTGTAGATTGCGATTTGGTTATCATTAATACGAATTTTATTCAGAAAGTTTAAAATTTTATAATTTCCCATTAAATCTGCAATTCAAATTTAAAAATAAATTTATCCGAAAATTGTTATTATTATTATTTCCATATTCTAATTTTAATTGCTTTTACGATTTCTCGTAAAAGTAAAAGTTAACATATTTTTAAAAATATAAGTAATACGTGATCAAAAATTGCAGATTACAATAATAAATTTGACTATTTATCTCGAAAACTCTTAATATTTTTACTTACAAAATACAGTAAGCTTCACAGAAGCTATCAAAGGATGATGAGTCACCGAATTTGACGCCTCGCATCGATACACTACATTGTTATCAGCAGTGGTTACGGTGAAAGTATGAGTGTTAGTTGCTTCTCTTCCACTTGTCGTGTATGTCACATCAACCTGGACATCATTTCTGTACCATACAAGTCGTGCTGGCGGATTTCCTCCTCGAGAAATACAAGCCAAAGTTAACTTATCACCAACTTGCACAATGTCACCATCTTGATAGCCTTCTATTTCCGGAGGGCCAGGAGGAACTGTAAGTGAAATGCCAAGAACTGCATAAATATATAATATATTAAATAATTAGAAGAATTTATTTAAGAAAAAAATAGTTATAAGTACGTATATTTTAACATATATGTTCAAATTTGATTGCTCTTTACTCGTATTGTTAATTTCAAAATTTTTCGATACACAGAAAAAAAAAATAGCAGATTAAGACAGTTTGCTTTAGATTTTTTGTAATAATCTAAATATAAAATTTATAGTGCTTTGTTATATTATTGATTACAAAAAAATTGAATTTTGAAAAAAGTTTTGGTTATTAAAAATTTGTTTCAAGTATTTTAAATCTCTCTTAATGCTCGTCTTTTAATATTTTAAGACTTTTCTTAATACTTTGACGTTACATTTTTTATAAACAGAAATTTGACATCTGAATTTATATTTAGAGTTATTTTTTTTATTATTTTTTTCTAGTTACAGCTTGTTGTTTATTTTTAACTATTCATATTTCGTATGGGTTTTTATTAAGGGTATTAAAATGATCTCTCTTTGTAACGACGATACTCTTTATTTCAAAATCGACTTATTACATAAAAATTTAAATGAAAAAATATGTAATATTCATAAAAGTCAAATCCTAGTTATTATCAATTTCTTTTTATACGTTTAGAAAAAGCCTATGCATGTAACTTAAGTAAAGATTCCAGAAGGAAGTAGTGCCCGTGTTTTATTGGATAAATAAATATTGTGTCTTCATGTACGAAAATCATATAGGGGAGATCGGGGCAACTTCGGCATGCGTGTCAAGTTTGTCAAGCGCTTTTTTTAAAAAACAAATTAAAAGGAGACTTTGGTTATAGGTTAGGCAGTTGAGTTTTATTGGTGGCTTGTTGAGTGTAGTGTTTTTATTGTTCTCCAACAAGCGTAGTTGAATTATCAAGCAAATTTTCATTTTCGTTCAATTCCATATAATATTTTTTTTCCATTTATATTGAATTGGCAGGTTTTGTTATAATTCCATGATAACGAAAGTTACTTTTCCTGTTAGAAGGATGTAACTTCAACTTATTCACGTGGCCAGATCGTGGCTTGGCATTCTGTTCTCAGGGTTGTACTTAATGTTTCGAAATCATGACTAGCGGGGTAAGATCGGCAACATAAAGCCACATTAGAAGCAAAGGATAAAAATCAAACAGATGATAAATGAAAACATGTTTGCATTTGTTATTCATGTATATATGTCTTTGAACTTGCATTTCGTTGTAATAATATTAAATGGGTGTTGGATTTGTATTTCTTTGTTTTAATAGTGAATTCCAACTTATACATTGTTAATAACATAATTTTATATACGTGCCTATCTTGCCCCATTACTGTTGCCCCTATACCAGGGGCAACTTTAATAAAAATAATTAAAATAATTACAACTTTACAAAAAGAGAGAAGTTGCCGATCTTGCCCCTATACCCGGGGCAACTTCGTCAATTTCTCTCTTCTTGTAAAGTTGTAATTATTTTAATTATTTTTATTTCCAAACTGATTTTAACCAGTTCTATAGTAAGGTAACATTCCAATAGACAATATGCAAAGCTTTTTTTTCAGTTTACAGCAGTATTTATTACATAAAATTTAAGTAAAGCTTAACATGCCGATCTTGCCCCGATCTCCCCTAATATTCTTTAAATTTAATTTTTTTCTTTATTATCCTTTAAATTCCCAATGGCGCGTTATTCTATGGGCAAAAGGGGAAATTGCTTGGGCCCTCACCGATGAGAGCCCCAAACCATTCTTTTGTAAGAGAATATTCCCCAGAAAATTCCCCGAAAGAAAAATGTACCTGAGGCCCTAACTCAAATTCGCGTGTGCCCTATAACCCTCTGTATAAAGCGCTACTGTAAATTCCATAATTTGTTCGCTTCTGAAATTGGCTCTCAATACATAATAAAAATTATGTATTGTAATGAGGTTTTATACAGGTTCGAGTTTGAAAATCGCGATTTGACGATAACAATGTCGTTTGTAATGGAAAATCGTATATTTAGTAATTCATAGATATCAAAAAAGGTTCTGTGTTTAATATTTATGGGAAAGATTGTTAAGTATTCATTGACACTCGACAATGGAGATATATCGCGGTTTGATTGTATATTTATAGTCTTTAGATCAAAATTTTAATCGTACGTTCGGTGTTAAAAAATGTAACGTACTTAAATTTATAAGTAACTAAATATAATAAAATCACAAAATATCTTAATTTTATTAAATTAAATACGTTATTTATTTATTAAAAAAAACAATTGCAATTAAGTATCAATAATTCATAAAAGACTAGATTAGATCCAAAGAGCATCTAAGAACTTCGAAGGATTATCTGAGATGCTCTTATATACAATTTTTATATTTCTTCTATCAGATCTATATTTTGTCTTCTTTTAAAAACAAGTAGCTTGACTTAATATAGATCTAAATGTTTATTGCAGTCCAAATGAGAAATATTGGATGATAAAAAAAAATACAAGAAAACACTTCATCGGATCAAATGTTCTTCAATAAGAACAGAAAACTTTCTTTATAACTTTCAGTTTACAAAAAAGAAGAAAAGAGGAACCGCATCTAAATCATTAGTTTAATTTGTGTAACTAAAAACTCTACTTACTTTCAAAAATTTCAAAGATAAATTGAAAGTATAGAATATCTATCTTGATGTTTTTTTATACAGATTAAACTTTTATAAAACGTAAAAAAAAAATACAACATTTCTTATAAAAAATGTAAGAATAAGAGTATTGAAATAACCGAAATGATGGTAATATTAATGGTAATAAATTTATTTCATGAATATTTTTAAAGTACATTTGAGATTTTTACATATCTACAGAGAGTTGCAATATAAATAAAATATAAAAAAAAAAAGTCAAGAATATCGGATAGAATTACAACATTTCGAAAGCAACTTCTGTTAGTAATACTGCATAATACATAAATTCGATTTACTCCAGTTGAACAATAAATATGACAAGTTTTTCTTTTTTCAATTTAAGCAAAGTAATGAGATATTCTTTTTTAAATATTCGTATGTATGGACGAGTTTCTATGAAAAATTTTGACTTTACTATAAATCATTCAATTCCGAAAATTTCTTACTATATCATCATTCAACATGCCGTAGGGTATATCAACTACAAATAAGGAATGATTTATAAGTGGCGCCATCTTTGGAAAAACAATTCAATCCCTCTTCCTTTATGAGTTATTTAATATAATAAAAATTTTAAAATTTATTCTATCAGCATTTATAATTTTTATATATTAAAAACTAACCTCTCTTGCGTAATTTTAATTTCATATGGTCGTGTCCTAATTCATTTCGAGCAACGCACGCGTATTGTCCAAAATCATTTATTTTCAAGTTTCTTACAAATAGCACGCTCTCCCATTTGATTTCAGTTAATTGCGTTGATTGAGAAGCATATTTATCACTGCTAAAATTATCTCCAATTATACCTCCATTATAGGACCATACAAAACTAATGTCGGGAGCACCGTCAGCTAAACACACCAATCTAGCCGTTTCTCCAATATCTCCGGCAACATTCAAAAGATTTTTTGGAAGATGAATCTTCGGCTTAACTAAATAAAATAATATTTATAAAAGAAAAGAATCTTAACATATGTTTTAAGAACATTTTTATCAATGTATAACATATCTAAATCTTGTTTACTGTGAGGATAAATCTCACTCACAACTCACACTTGACAATCAGCTGCGCTCGTCCAATTGATTCATCTCCTACACCATTGTAAGCCACACATTCAAATGTTCCAATATCTTCTTTACTGACATTCAAAACTGTCAAATATGATCTACCTCTTTCAGCTACCTCCTGTGTTCTGCTCATATCAAAGCCTTTTCTTCTCCACTTTATGACATCGTTACTTAAAGGATTCGCTGTTGCCACACATTCAAAGTAAGCATTGTCACCAGCATCGGCGATGGCAGTCTTTGTCACTTTTATGACACTAGCTTGATCTGTAAATAACGTTCATTTAAATTATTTATTTATTTAATAATATCTACAATAAGAGAATATATTAAACTTCTATACAATGTAATATNAGAATCATTTAATTATATGTATTAATGTACTTTTAAAGCTCTTTTTGCCTATTATATCACACTAAAGAAAACGTATTTTAAATTCGTATTTCATAAAAAAAAATATATTTCTCCCTCCTTTCTTGTCCCACGTGCAATATTATTAAATTCCTGTATGGATGCTGTAGCATTTCAATATGAAATACAGAGAACATCAATTGAGTGACAAGCAATTTCATGGCCTTCTGAATCACTATATGCAACATATCAAAAAATGCAATTTTTTTCCTCTTTCATTTCCCATATATATTTTAGTTTTTCTTTCTAAATATTCAATTATGGATGAAGAACAAAGACATCAATATATGAGAATGCTTTCTATTTTAAATGACTGTTATTTTCATAGAAAATTTCTTTCAAATTTAATAAAATAGTAATAATAAATTTATTAAAAATATAAGAAATATTAATTATTAATATCAAAATAAATTATTTTATAGTTTAAATGATTTTTTTTAAATAGTAAACACTAGTAAATAATTCAGTAACAACGACTTTCAGAGTAATAACTATTATTTAATGATTACATAATTGATACAAAAGTTGATAAGAAAGCTTCTTTAAATATAGTTAATAATTTATATGTAATTTATATAATGTTCCTTTAACTTTTTTATTTGTTAATTTGAATTATTAAATCAAAAGCTTAAAGTAAATTAAGTATTAAAATATTTAATTTATTTCTTCAGCATCTCTGAAAAGCGTCATAAATATAAATTTAAGAAACGTGCCAGTTATTCAACCAGTAGATCACGATCTACTAAGACATTAAATCCTACAATAGAAAATTATTTATCATTCTATAAATGTTTCTTTGAAGTTAGAATTGATATATCCTTTCTTATGTTACAATTAAATTTTGTGAATGTAAAAAGAATATAAAAATTTCAGATTAATATAATAACAAATATAAATTAATTTAGATATAAGTTGGTAATCTTTTAAACGTGTCTAGCATATTTATGACTTGTGAAAATGCTAAATTAATTTGAATAATTTCATTTTTTAAATATAAATTTATATTAAATTTGACAAATTAAGGTTGATTATAACCTCTTTGCTTATGCATGCGATGTCTAGCAGATGGCTGTAAAAATTTAATGCTTTTTCTATGGAAAAAAACATTTTCCAAAAATTTTAGAAAATGAAAGTAGATAGAGCCAAACAGCTTTTTGCGTTATAATCCGATTTAATTCTTCTATTAACATACGGTTTAAAATTTTGAAAATCGACTTAGTTAATTTTCTACAAATTTTCTTCGACTTTAAGAATTCATAAAAAAATTAACGAATTCGATTTTCAAAATTCTGAACCGTAAGTTAATACAAGAATTAAATATGATTCTAATACAAAAAACCGTTTGGTTCTATCTACTTCCATTTTCGAGAAATTTTGAAAAAGGTTTTTCCCATAGAAAAGGCATTAAATTTTTACCGCCATCTGCCAAAGATCGCGTGCATAACCAAAAAGGCTACAATCATTTTTAATATATTTATAAATCATTTTATATATTACTTAATTATATTTGCATAGGATAAGTGAAAAAAAAAGGAACTCGAATGAGGACTTACATAGAACACTAATGGTAACCATCGCTTTTAAAGGTCTTTGTAGAGCCACGTGGACGGCCTCGCAGGTGTATATTGCTCCATTATCGTCCATCTTAGGATAAATAGTGATGGTACTCATGCTGTTATGAAGATTATCATTGATGGTTTCGACCGTCGTCTGGGGTGTGTCTATAAAACAATTCAGAAAATTTCGATTCGTGTTTGAATGAGGCTTTTAACAAATTCACTTTAAAATATAAACTTTTAAATAAACTCGTAATCTAAACATAAAATAGAACAAATAAAATGTACAAATAATTGTAATTCTTATTGTGAATCATTAAGATTTACAATTTTCTAAATCTCCCAGTTTAAAGTCGCAATAAAATACATTTTAAGTGTATTAAGTAGAAAGTGTTTGTAGTTATTATACCTTTGGGTCCATAAAGAGCAAAAGACAACGGCTCGAAACTTTTGAAATTACAGATATTTGTCTACTTTGGTAGCATCCATTATGAAGTAAATCACCTAACAAATCTTAAGTGATTATATAAGTCGTTAGAGTTGTAATTTACTAAAAATAGATAAACTATCACGATAAAGGTATTTACTTGTGAATTTGCGAAATTAAATGACTTATGAAAATACATTTTTATTGTTACAAATTATTATTTGAATAATAGAAATAAATTCTTATTCTCTTTATTTAAAGATCATTTCAATAATTTTATTCTCGTTGCTAAAATTTATATTAAAGATTCGTCCTTAAGACGAAGATCTTTAGGAATTAAGTTCAATATAGCATCATTGTTATTGCTCTAGATTATTGCTATGCAATAAAATTTAAATTGATTAGCTCTTGTAATAAAAGAAACTATTGAAAATTTCGATAATGGTTCGTGGAATTTACATTAAATTTTTACATTAAGCTCTTCGTATAAATTCGTGTTTTTGATTGACATTATCGTAAATTTTCATCGTGTTTGTACTTGTAAATATAACCTTTCACACTTTGATAAGTTTTTATATATATATTTTAACAGTTTTTTCTACGTTTTTTTAAGTTTATAATCTATAATTTAGAGTAAATATGACCTAGTAATATAATAAGTTGATTATCGTTATAATAATAAAAAAATAATATCAACTTTTAAATAAATAAATTATTAGTAATTAATGCTTATTTTATTTATTTATTTATCTACTATAAATTACTACTTTTATTTTTATTATTATATACAGATATATTTATCTCTTTATAAAGACACTCAATCAAATTTTTTTACATTTAATAATGATAATGTATAATGCTTTAAGCGCTCGTTAATTTAAGATATTATTTTGTTAAACTTTTTATCCATATAAAAACAACATTTTAGTTTAAAAAAATGCATAAAGAAGCTTTTATATAATTTAAAAACGCGTTTGTTTAATTTATAAATTATAAATACTTTTTTTGATTAAAATCGTTTATAAAAAAATTAAAATTTTAATACATAAACTTTAAAAATACTCCGAATTTAAAAAAAAAACATGAATACAAGACTTTGAATGCGCGTTATATTCGAAATTCTTTATAAACTCTTGTAAATCCTTTTAAATTTTGAAAATATATGAAATTTTCTATCTTAAATCCAACGTAAAATGGTAATTGAGACTATTTCATTTTTTAAAAAAAAATTATATTTAATACAAGCGTTATTTTGAAAAAAACGAATTACAACTTTCTTTGAATCAGTACAATGTAAAATAGATAAAAAAAATATTCGCTTTCACACTTATCAAAGTTCATAGTTGCAGAAAGATAATATATTTGATAGTAAGCTAATCATATTTTGTAACTTACGTATATATATATAAAAAAATAAAGTTTTGAATATTTAAAAAAAATGAGAATGGCGATAACATTAGAATATATATAATCGTGACATGTAACTAGAAAATATTTTGTACTCGCTGAAGCGTAAAGAGAGATTTCAGCATTCTCCATTGTGACACATCGTGCATAACACCGGAATTGACTGACACGATACACTGGAGATACGTATTGTAGATAGATGTTGATACATCTGCTTCTGTAATAAATGTATTCCAATCTTTCCCAGCTCTTTTTCCAACAAAAAAATGAAAAAAAAAAATGTATATATTGCACATATTTTGATGTATCAAATAAAATAATCGTTATACGTATTTTATTCGATATCTAAACTGGTAGTATATACTTATATCATGCTTCGGAAGTTTACAGTAATATATTTGATTTGACGCCATAAAGTATATAAGGGTAAAAAAAAACTTTTAAACTTTACCTGATTTTATTTCTTTGCTATTTTTGAACCATTTTAAAGTAGTTGATGGTTTGCTTCCGCGAGCTGTGCAAGTGAGAGTAACTCTTTCCGCTTCTCTTGTATCCACTGTGCTACCATTTGTTCTTCCTTCAATATCTACCCTTTTAGGTGGTACTGCAAGAAGTCAGTAAACACTTTAGTCGTAGAACGAATATAGATAGGAAAATATGTCTATTCACATTTTATGAAGTTATTTTAAATGTGATCATAAAATGAAGCAAGATTTTTATCGCAAACTACATATCGTAAAAGTAACATTTTTAAATGTTTCTTTTGAATATCTGAATATAAATCGATATTAAGTTTGTAAAGCGTATTTTATTATCTAAACTTATCCACGAATATTTATTAAGTACAGTACATATATATAAATTTGTATTATTTTTGGAAAATTTAAATTATTACAAAAGAAAAACCTATGTTGTTTATTATTATTATTATTATAAAAATATTTAAAATTTATGAATTTCTCTTGTAAAATTTTAAAGCCTGATCGATATTATGACTCATTTAATTTATAAAACTATTAATATTAAGTAATTGAACATTTCTTTGCTGAAGTACAACGAAGAACTACAATATACGCACCTTCATTACATGCTAAATTACCCTTTAATAGACTAGGCTCTTCATGTTCAATATTTTATTTAGTAAGTTAAACCATAATCTTTCTGACCATCTTTTCTCAACTAATAATGACTTTCTGCCAAGTGATTTTCTCTTTCAACTTTGCTTCCTGATATTTAGAGCATCAGTAAGCAAGTAAAGCAACATCTGTCTAATGTAATTGTGTGGACATAATCTGTTATGGCGCATAGTTTCCGATTAGGATATTCTACGTAACACTACAACCACGCCCAACTCATTACGTCTGCCACTAATTTTGCAAAGGTTTTCTTGCGTAAAGTGATGTCTTGTCGCTCTAGCGACCAACTGGAAATTCCAAAATAAGCTATCAAATAAAGTACATTACTTGTTTTCAATACTCACCAAGAACGTGTATCTTAGCAGCGGCACGTATAGGTTGATTATTAGGAGCTGGCCCTACCTATTTGGAAAAGAAAAACAATTTTAAAAAGTTACAAATTACAGGAATATTATTAATTATCTTTTCAAATTATTCAAGCATTCATTATTTGTTTTAATAATTTTATGTAAGCAAAAACAGAATAAATTTCCAAAAAATATTGTTAAAGTTTATTTCATTGGTCGATTTCCACGTAATAGGATGTTTCTTCAATGCAGTTGGAAATAATTGCACTTAGTCGACATACTTTCCTGTACGGATAACTGCATGTGAAGATAGTATCACAACAATAAAGAGATACCAAGTTGGAAGCACTGTCGTTATACAGCAATGAAGCTACTAGCAGGCAGTAAAAATTGAAGTTTTACTGTCCAGGGTATCATTTCTCTTATCTTTTTATAACTACTCATAAAAATGAGGTGCGAATGTAAGATACAAATACCCAGAAATTTCATGTAGTTCAAAGCAAATTATACAATTTAGAATGTAACTAAGTTAAATATTATCTTTAAAATATGAATATTTTATTTGAATATTTTAAAGATCTTCACGATTTTTATCTTATTAATCTCAATTTGATAAATATATTCTAAAAAGAAAATTCTCAACGTAATATTAAGTTATGTAATTTTCAGTTTATATCAAAAAATTTTGACATTTATTACTAATATTTGATTAATAAATTCAGAATGGATAATAAATATGTTTTAAATTCAAAATTTAAAACAATATTTCTTAATGTTTTTCACTGCTCACACTTTTAAATTTGAAAAACGTGCTCATGCATCTCCGCGTGAAAATTCGTGTTTTATTTTAGAGGTTAAATATGTCCCATTTCCCATACATATATTTTAGACTAATCACAGATACGGATTAAGCAATTAGAAAACAAAATGAATCTTTATTCATTCATCAATATAATAACATTTGGTTCTAGAAATTTTTAACTAACAAAAACACAATTATACATTTAAGATGACATTAGTACAATTATATTAAACTTTTATCTTAAATATTAACTCAACTTTCAGTGAAAACGATGGAAAAACGATTTTAGAAAGTGTAATCGAAGAAGTTTTTCTTTATTAAATGTATTATGCACCCTCGAGATGCACGTACCTCAGATAAATAATTGATAATATATATTATTTCAAGTATAATATTATATACTAATTCTTCATGAAAATTATATAAAAAATGTAATTTTTGTTTTATTTAATAATGTATTTAATTTTTCCAAAATATTATATTAATAAAATTACATATTTAAAGTAATTACCAATGATTTTTCTGCCTACACAATTGTAAACTCCATTAAAAACAATGATATATAATTCTTTCATCTCACTTTCATCTCTTTTATTACGATGTAATGTGATGAGGCTACTTTCTGTAGCATATCATCATAATTAGCTCAATGTTAAATCAACTTGTACTTGACGGTCACTAATGTTGTAATCTCGTGGACAACAACAAATTAGCATCCATATATTCAACGTATAATTAAATCATCAAACTCGTGAGTTCTTTTAATTAAGTACAAATAAATATTTAAAAAGTTATGTTAAACTAAATTATTTGCCTGTAAATAAAACGTAAAAATCATAAATAACATTGTCATTAGCATTTGGCTTATTAATTTGCTTAATATTAATATTAAAAATGAAAAAAAATAAATAAATAATTTATTTTTTAAACAAGAAATACGTTTAATTTTTTATTTTTATAAGTTTTTTTGATTTTTTAAAAATTTAATTAAATTTCTTCGTGTTACATTTATCTTGAGTGAGTTATAAATGAAAATATACATACACCGATTACGTTTATCTCAAAGCCATTGTTTAGTTAAAATATTTGAAGAAAATCAAATATTTTAACTAAAATTTAAGAACTAAAATTCTGCTATTGGCATTTTTTTTACAAAGGATTCTTTATAAAAAATGCCAATAACAAAATGCCAAAGGTCTCAGAATAATGTTGATTTCTCATCATCTCTTGTGTTGACGTGTTATTAATTTAAAATAGATTAAACAACAACTTTTTGAAATTCTAAATTTTCAACAAGATTTTCTTTTTGTGAAAAAATATAAGCTAATACACTTTATCCAAAGTTTCAATTCTTTTCAGACAATGCAATTAAATTAAATTTATTTCATACGTTTTGAAAATAACGTAACCTCATTTAAAACTATATTTCACATAAAATTCATGTTTATAAATTTAATTTGCAAAATTATAAATCTCTGAGCTGTGCTTTCTTGAAAAATACATCTCACTATACGAAATATAACACATGCCATAAGAGAAAAGAAGAAAAATATACTCGTATATTGATAGTCTGTGATTCGGGAACCTCATAGTGAGTTACTTCCTTACGTAAAGTTTTTCGGATTTTCTTCACGTATGTAACACCTGAATAAGGAGGAATCAGTTTCTGTAAAAAGTTTTCTCCGGGAAGCACCCCACTTGGCAGATCATCCACGTGTTGCGATGATTTATTCCATCAATTCAATCTAGAAACCCACTAGTGAAGACCTATAAGTGAGTGGTGCTGAGGTAATGGGTACATTCTAATTTCTGATTTAAATTTACATTATTTTCTGTATTCATCTATCGCAACACTTAATAAAACTATTGTTTATTTATATATATTTCAAGTTCTAATCAATAAAGTTAACATTCTTTTAAATTCACTCTGAAGAAATAGATTCGGAATCAAAATCTGCCAAGAGTTTTGTAACTCCTGCGAATCCCTAAATATATTTATAATAAAGAAATACATTTATGTTATCAAATTTTTAATAATTATTTCGTAAAAATTTTATAATTGAGCACATTATTGATTTAATCATTTCATACATTTTAAAATAGATTATTGTCCTTTTATAAGCGCGACTACGAAAATACTTTTTAGAATAATTAATTTAAAAATAAACAAATATACGAAAGAGAAAATGAAAATAAAGTAAATTCTTTGTGGTAAAATAAATAAAACTATCGAAGAAAAGAATCTTACTTAAAGAAAAATATTTATCTTATGTAAAGGTATGTAGAATATGATTTACATTGATTGGAATACGACTAAAAGAAGTCTTATATAGCCAATGTTTGCTTAACACTGTCTTTTTTGTAGTAAATTGTGAGTCTAATTTTGTTATAAGTTCTGTGGCAAAGAACCTCTTTATACAAAGAAACTATGCAAGCAGAATAAAAGAAAAAGAATGAATGTCTCACACAATTAAAGTAAAAAAGAAATTTGTTAAGAATAAATGTAAACAGAAGAATAATCCAAAAGAAAGCTACAATTGTTCAAAATCTTTAAACAATTTTTTTTTTATTAAAAACCAATTAAAATAACAGTAAATAGATATTAGCCTAATTTACTTCTAACTTAATTTAAGAAAGTCCAATTTAAAACTCATTTATTTAAATTTACAATAATATTTTAAAATAAATTGTTTCCTTCTTTTTCTGTAATTTTTTTTCTATTAATTATAATAAAAGCATGTTTCGTTTAATTTCTATACTAAAGAACCATTATCTAACTAACTAATAACAGTAACTGAGGAAACAAAACAAGAAAATGTTTCCTTAATTACTATACTTTTCATTAAAAATAGACTAGCTTATAAGATACAGTATGTGGTTTATGTACTTTAATTCGAATTTGTGTATTTTAAAAATAAATTTCAGTAATTTTTCAATTTAATAAATCATTTAAATTATATAATAATTACACAATAGTGAAACCTTTTAAAATGACATTAATATAGAGGTTATTGGTAAAACATGCAACTTGTAAGAAATGAGGTAGGTCCTCATCCTTCTTAAAGTTATAAAATATATAAGTGAAATCAATAAAATAATTTTATTAGCCTCTACATCATGTTTTTCTTTATATAAAAGACTAAATTTTGGGGTTCCTGCGTGCATAAGATCTAAGTCTAACTAGTTGCCTGAGCCCATATGTCACAATAATAGAATTTTACATACTTTGCCTGAGAGATTGACCTGAAAGACGTTAATAACTTCCTCAAATGAAACTTTTTGGTTACAGAATTCTAAAAAAAAACCTAAGATCTTTCACAGGCAACATACATTCGTTCTGTTCATTGGTTGAAGATAAACTAACGATAAGTTTGAATACCACTAATGTGAATAACGCTATACTTGGTTAACTTATCACCGTCTAATGTACATTGTCTGTGAATAAAATTATTTTTTTAAATAACCTGATTAAAAAATTTCATGAAGAAAGTTATTAATCTCTCTTAGATCTATCTGTCTTTCAAAGGAAGTCGTAGATTTTGTTACATCCTGTATACAGTTTCTACGTTATTAAACTTGCAAATTTATTCACTTATTTTTTTATTTATTTAAAATCCTTTAAATATTTCATTTAATTTTAATCAGTATTTTAAATTATATATATTTAAAAATAATTTTAATTTTTACAAAATTCTAAAAAAAACTATTTCTAATTTGTCCAACTTTAAAACAGCTTAAATTATATATACACACATAGGTTGTATCTCTTAATTATTGATATTAATTTATAATTAAACTTCAATAACACCGAAATTAATGAATTTTGTTCACAAAAATTAAAAGAATTTTAAAAATGTACGAAATTAATCAACTTAGAATAAAGAAGAACATAATTTATTAATATAATTTTCTAGAAAATAAAACAAACTTATCACGAATTAAACTTTGAAGATGCGTGTAACTTATTTCATTTTAAAAGATATAAATTCGTTACATTAAATCACGAATAGTTGCTGTAATATATTTGCATTTGTTCTATTTCATTAAATTAATTTTAATTATATCAATTAATTTAAAATTTACTTTACATTATTTAATTTAAAATAATTCTCTTTCAATTTTCGTTTCTTACGCTCATTTTTTTTAGTATTAAATATTTGATTTAACGTTAAAAAGTTTCATATTTCAAATTATCAAATATTATTTTTATTGAGGTCATTTTATAGAGCAAACATATTTTTCTATTATTTTTT